TCGTCTGGCGACACCGTCCGCCATCCAATGCAGTTGCGTATTGTATTTCCCCTTCGGGTGCACTGCAGCGTCACTATGGACGCCCAGCTCGGCGCGCTGCTTATCTCCCGATGGCTGCTCGACACAGTTCGGGACCCCGTTTGGAGCTGTTGCTCCTCTGCCCATTGAAGAAGCCTTGCTGACTGGCCATGTTCTAGCATGACTTGCGAGAAGCAATTCATACCCCAAGACGCCAACTTCCTGTACTGCTCAGAAGCGTAAGTGAGACTCCGAGACCATGACACGCGTGCCGCGATCCTTTACTGACACTCTCCTTAGGTGCCGCCAACACGATCAGCAAAGCGCATCAACTGGCAGGAGCCACAGCCAAGCGCACATGGGCAACTACCCCTTCTACGCCATGGGCAACCCCGAGCCGAGGGACATTGTGCCTCGCGCATCACCCTCGAGGCCGAACTCGATGCACTTCTCCCCGCCCACAACGCCGGGTGCCACCACCACCAGCGGCGGTGGCCAGTACTCATCCGCCATCTCCGCGCTGAGGTCGCTCAGCATCCGGCCCCCGAGCCCGCCGTCCCCCACGTCGTCTCACCCCAGCCTGTGGCCCTTCACCAAGAGCACCACCAACAGCCCCAGCACCTCGTACAACCGCGGTACCAATAGCTTCTTCCCGGCCACCTACGACGGGGGTTACGCAGCGAACGGGTACGCCTACAACTACAGCTCCAGCGGCATGGACCGGCCGCTACCGACGCGGAGACCCACTGGGCCGGGCTACTCGAGGCCGAAGAGCATCGAGTTGGTGACCCCGATGGTCGGCCGTTAACGCTCACCGGACGGTGTGTGTGTGTGAGGGAAGCTGCACCACCAGACACACGGTTTAGCCAACTTGTTGCACGACGACGGTGTTGGGGAAGCGATTGGCCCTTTGCGCAGAGCGTCAAGTCCAGCTCTGTGTGCGCGGCGGGCGGGGGTGACGGGTCCTCGTACTCGCCTGTCTTACCCCAGCCCCAGACCCGCGGGGTTAGCGTCGATTCCGAGCACTGCAAAACGCGGGGGGCACTCACGGAGGCGATGGCCGGTCAAGGGAGATTGATTCACCTTCATCTCTTTAGGCACGGGTTGCCCGGCTTGTCACCTTTCCGACTCATCCGCACACCCTTCACCGGTCTTGCTCCTCCTGCTGCCCCCAACTTTACCCCACGAAGGTCAGGTCTTGGCACGGAGAGCCAGCATTGCAGGTTGTGGGGATTCATTTACGCATTTACAATGTCTTTTCTGCACTGCGAAACGCCATGGCTGCGGTCATGTGAGGGGAGACAGGGAGCTGGGAAGGAATCAAAATCAAAATTGGGGTTGCATTGGCATAGGCATTGATTGGCATTGGCACAGCGAATTGGGGTTTGGTCTCGTTTTTTTCTTCTCTCCCACCCCGTCCTGGATTCGAACCGACCACTTGGTACGCCATTCCCAACACAATCACGGAGGGTTCCACGAAAACCTCCGTGGGTGGGGCGTGGAAGGACGATTCATAATGGGCGTTTGTTCTACCTTTTCTTTTACCGAGCTTCTGATGGGCATTTTCATAGTCTCACTCATATGTTGCTCAAGCCACCACCATCACCACCACCCCCTGAAGGCATATAGAAAGGCGGGCGTGGGCATCAATGGTTGGGGGAAGGAATGGCTTTGCATGAAAGGGCATAACGGATCGTAGTATCTAGGGCGTATCTTCTTTTTTCTTATTCGGAACTCGGAGGAGGCATATGGCGGATACAGTACTCCCCCTTCTCTCAACGGATCATCATATTGTCAAAAAAAAATACATAGCATATCTCGGATCGGCAGGACGCATGGAGCCATTCTCACAATAATTTTTATGTACGGATTTACGGCTCAGGAACATAGTCGTGCCTGCGCGCGCGCGCGCAAACAGGCGTGAGACCAGATGGTTTGATCGGCAGCTCGACGGCGGCAGATAATGGGAGGGTGGCTTGGCTTGGCTTTTTTGTTTGGTGGGAGATAGCAATGAAGCAAGAAATCCACCATCTGAACCACAAACAATCCGTAGGACCCCCAAATGTGAAGGTGGCCCCCCTCCAGACGCACAACGTCGATCCCCGTCTTGCGGGTTTCCCCAGATGGCGAGTTGCCGGCTTAGCGGGGGGGGGGGGCAGAAGTGGCCCGCATGGGGTTTGACATGCGAGACTGACTCGGGAGATGGACAGGAGTTGAGCGAGAGAGAGAGCGCGCACGCAGTTCCTCCGCCCGGGTCGGGGACGCGGACTTGCAGGGCTGGGAATGCCGCGATAAGGGCGTATGTTTGTGTGATTGGGGACTTTAGATAAGTTGATATTGCATGGCACACACACACATACGCACACACGCTCTCTTTGGTTCTCTGAGGGTTTGGGGGTTACGAATCCTGATGGGGGAAGGAGGGGGGGGATATTTAATTTACGAGCAAGCGCAGGATTCGATGCTCATTCCTCTCTCTGCTGTGCCGCCTTTCTGACGAGGTCCAGACCCTTTGGTCATCGAGATAGAGCCTAATGACTGAAGTTCCAAAGGCACCCGGATGGGGGAGGGGGGAGAGGGCGGGGAGGTTACACAGCGTTTTTTTTTTTGCTCTTTGCTTACAGAGTGGTGGTCCTCGCAGGCGAGGTACCCAGTAATGGGGTGCAGTGGGCCCGGGGCCGGATGCCATTGCGGCCGTTTCCTCCGCTTAATTCAATTCAATTAATCGACGTTTTTCTCTTCCATTTCTTCACTTTAATTATTCATGCTCTTCCCGCCGTCTGTTGTTCCCGGGTGTTTCTGGGACACGACTGCCGGCTCAGCGTCGAGATGGGGGAGGCCGTCCGAGACGCGGTTCCCTGTCTCGTGTTCTGCGGGCGCCGGGAGGAACCCACTGAGGGGGCCACTGCACGGGGTGGGGTGTTTGGAGGGAAGGGTCCCCAGGGACGAGGTGACGAGGGGGAACATTGGATCTGGGGTCTTGCATCGTCGCTATCGGCAACCGGCTGATAATGTTGAGACTTTGACGTGACCTGGGTTGGGTGGGGGTGGGGGGGAGGTCTTGAGAGAGAGGGTTACAGTCTCAATATGGATGGGGAGGGGCTTTTGGTGGCTTCTGTTAATAGGAACTGAGTCTGGGGCGTTTGCTATGTAGACGATGACGATGGATCTCGAGGTATGAGGTGATAAGGAACGAGGCGGTTTGAGTCATGTGCCCGACCTCGTGATGGTAGGTGATGAAGGAGGATGGTGGGCGAGACCGGACTGTCTGGGTCGGGGGCCAAACGATGGGCAATGACGGAACGGGTTCTGTGTGATGAGGGCATCTCGTGATGGGAGGCCCGTGGCGGTTCCCGGTGGCCTGTGACGGCGACGGTGACGGGGACGAGGGGAGTGATTGGGGGCCGGAGCGGTGAGCTGGGCGCAGTTGCCAGGTTTTCCCAAGGTGAGATGGATGGGCGAAGGGGGTGGTGGTGGTGGTGCATGCCGGGTCCCGGGACTAGTGAATCACGCAAGCCAGGCACGCCATGTAGGTACGGCCTCTTGTCGCGGTGAAGGTGTGGTGGCACAAGGTGAGAAGAAATGTGTGGGAAAGGTGAGGGAGGGACGACGTCTGTGTAAAGAGGCGTGACCGAGCAGGCGTGTGGTGCGGGTGCGGCAGCTGAAGCGCACTTGACGCGGCGTGCACCTTGTGATGTCGGCTGGTGTGGATGGTGTGGGATGACGTGAGGCGTGAGTCGTGTGCCCTGATTATCCTCCCCCCGTTCCCTCGGAGATTGATTATTAGTTGATTAGTCGGGATCCTTCCTCTGGTTGGATCGGGGAAGACGACGACGACGCTGCTAGTCGTCGGGCCAAACAGTGAAGCTGGACTGCTATCTTGGGCCCGGCACGGTTGTCGATGCGTGATATGGGCGAGATAGGGTAGTCTCGGCTATTCGGCGGGGGCTTGAGTGCGTTATCGACAAGCGGCTCAAGCCCCCCCGTATGGTGTGCAAGGTTGCATTGGGTGCTGACACGTCGAGCCGGTTCTCGAGATGTGATGAGCCGTCGACGTGGGATTGTGAGGTGTCGCTCGGATTCTGTGCGAGATGACAATGCGGCCCTCCTCTTTTGCTCCTTCGGGCGACTCCGACCAGAGGTCTGCAGGGCGACGCGGCGGCGGCAGGTTCGGCCGGGTCCGGTCGGGAGGAAGAGGACGGGAGAGAGAAGGACAAATGTCGGCGATGTCGGTTTTGAGCGGAGTGGAGTCCGGGTCCCCGGTTTCTCGGTGTCGGTCGGGGGCCGTCTCGATTGGGGGAGGGGTCCAGTGGCCCACCCCAGGACCTCCAGCAACTGACTCTCATCCCTGTTTTGGCGGCCCCATCGGCCGCGATATAATCTCGGAAGGTTATGTTGACGACGGTATTATCTTCGGCGTAATTCTTGACTGATGATGTTCTAAGCAAGCTGGCTCCTATACATTTGGAATGGGCGGTGGTTGTGAGTTCCATTACGGCAGGCCCGGAACTCATTTTTTATTTTATTTTTGCTTGCAAATCGTTGCAGTGAGCCCAGAGGCGTACATTCTACATCCTCTATACTTCATGCCTTCCATTGGCGAAGAAGTACCCGAGGTCGAGGAACCCGGAGCCCACTCCGGTCACCACAATGTGCGACCCATGGCATTGCCGTGAGGCGTGTCGACATCGCGAACCCTGATGTCCTCAAACGCCATTATGGGTCAAGTACTACGCCATGTCCAAGATGTTTTAATTTGATCACTGCCTAGCCTGCAACTCCGGATATCCCTTCACCACACCCCAAACTCCTAGTAGGAATCATTGAACAAAATACAACCTAACCCCCTTTCATACCATGATGCCAAAGACGCAATCAAGCACACCTCGCATGTTGTGTTGTCCCCCCGCTCCTGGCAGCTCTTCCCTTGGGACCCTTTCGACCAGTGAACCTACGTATCTGACTGCCAGAAACGTGTATCCCTACCTGTTGTAATATGTCTGGTGCTGTGTACTCGCCTCCGCGCGGTCGTCCGGGTCCGCGCTCAACTCTTGCGGCTCCTGGGCCGGCGCGGGTTGCACCTCAGCTGCCACCGGCTGCGGTGTCGTCTTCTGATCACCCCTCGCCGGCGTGTACTCAGGCAGCGGCGGCGTCACCCCCGGGGCGACTTGCACCATGCTCACCTGCGGCACCCACATGTTGCCGTGGGCATCGTACCGCGGCTGGTTCAGCAGCGTCGTCGTCTCGCCGAAGTACGCATGCTGCGGCGGGTACGACGACGCGGAGGACATGTGCGTCAGAATCGATGTATCCCCCATCATGCCCGCTGGAGTCGTTTGCGACGACTGCGAAGGCAGCTCGACCGGCGGGCTCATGTGCGGCGACACGGTTTGCGGAGACATCGGGTGCGGGGATGTTGGAGGCAGCGGAAAGGAAGCCGAGTGGCCGTACGGTGGTGAGTAGGGCGATGGCATGGGGCTGAGGTGGGATGGAGGCCCCGACCATGGTTCTGACATGCTCTGGGCGTGGTAGAGGTGACTTGGCCCCGGCGGCGATGTCCTGTTCTGGAGTACGCGCTGGCGGCGCTTGCGGACGAGGAAGCATCCCACCGCCAGCGCGATGACCAAGACCGCAGCACCGACGGCAATGCCAACGATTGCACCCGTAGACAGACTCGTACTCGGAGCCGGTGGGCTAAACCCGTTAACAGCCCTCGTCGGCGTCCGGACGGCAACATCGGCCTTGAGCGTGATCAGTAAGGCTACGTCGGTGTAATCGAACCCGTTCGCAGGTGTCGTTTTGGTCGCGCCGCCGTTGCCGTTACCGCCTACAACCGCAAGGACCTCGTCCGGCACGGCGTAGGTCGTCTTGTTGGGCTTGTACAGATCCCAGAGGCTCTTGTTCGGGTTCTGCTTCCCCAAGTCGGCGTTGTGGGTCCCCCACTGGCCCGGGGAGTCGCAGTCTTGCGTGAGCGGGAAGTTGCCCCCGGAGATAATCATCTGGCCCCGGCCAGGGATGATGTTACAGGTGAGCGAGTGGTGCGGGTAGTCACCGGTGCCGTTGCGGCCGAGGGGGTACATCTTCACCCAGGTGAAGGTTGGGATCGAGAGCACGTAGAGATCGTCGTAGCCCCCGCCGAGGACGCCCGGAACAGTTGCGCCGCCGTACATGTAACTTGATGAGGTGTTAGCGACAGGGGGTTGGAGATGTAAAGAGCCTGCTCACATGTTGTACGATGACTGATCTGCTGCCCACGTCACGCCTGCGCAAAACCGCCGCCTCATCTCCGGGATCTGACCGGTAGCTTTCTGGGTATACCACTTGCTGCTGAGGACGTCGTAGATGAAGATCTGGTCTATGGGCTGGCCCGTAGCTGTACCGTTGGCGGACAGGTCTTGGATGCCCCCAAAATAGATCAACATTCCGCCCTCTCCCGCTGGGATGTATTGTAAGCTGCCCTCGGCGCGCCGTATGTTGTCAGGACTACGTAACGTCAGCTCCTATCCAAACTCATTCCTATGTATGGGTGCTTTGCTACTCACCCAGTGTTGTTGGAAAAACTGTTCGTGTCCATGGTATATTTTACCAATCCTGTCGTGGCTACTGGCGGACCGGTACCCCAGTTGGGGACGGAGGCGTTGCTTAGCCATCCGCCAAAGTAGTATGCCTCCCCGCGACTGTCAACTGACACTCCTGCACCGTAGCTCACTTTGGAAATCGACGCCCCCGTGCGTGACGGACCGAAGGAATCCCATTGGTTATTCAGGATGTCGTAGCCATATAGATTGAAAGGCAAAGGAGGCTCTCCCAGATTGTGCTCGCCGCCGAAGAGGTAGAGACGCTTATTGACCGAGTCGGACCAAAGAGCGCCGCCAGCGACATTGGGAATGGAGCCGTTCTTGGAGAGGTTTGCGTACAGAGGGGGCATGCCCGTAGATGCCGTTGTAGAGAGGTCTTGGTAGAGAAGCCATGTGTCTGGGCAAGGTGTTAGTAAAGGTCAGGGCCAACGAAACTTCTGTATTTCGCAAGGAAACTACTTCGAATGGTACGACATACTTGTGTAATTGGAAGGGAAGGAGGCAAGAGGGTTCCAATTGATGAGGCCGCCATCGATGAATAGCTTGTCATCAACAACGGCCGTTTGATGTCCAAAGCGGCGACAGAAATTGGCCACGGGATCTTGTTGCGCTGCCGTCGGTGCCAAGAACAGAGAAAAACTTATAAGGGCGAGCAGGGGCGCCGTGAGCGACATTCTGTGAAGTGTTCCGGACGATGCTCCTACGCGTTGAGGAGTTAACGATCCCAGCCGGTCCACGGACGGGCTCATGATAATACTCGGCCGTCAGTCGGAGTGCACTATGAGCATACCGTATGCGACCAACGTAGGTGGGTTGTATCGAGTTGATGGTTTCGAATGATCTGCAAAAAATATTGAGGGGACTCTCCCCACTGGGGTTATGTGTCTCGGGAAGTATGTGGATTCTTCTGTAGACAGTAACAGAAAGGTCTTCTGGTATGGAACAAGCGGTGGAATGTTGGGAGAGATTATGCTAGATTCCAACAAGGTTCGAGAGAGTCAGAGGAGAGAGGCACACATATGGACGGACTTCTTCGTAGCAACTGGACGATGAGAACCAAAGCTGTTTCACTTAAGGCAAGGAAGAAAAGACACTGTCCAGATTGACAAAGAGGGGATTTGGGGGGTTCTCGAGAATGGGTAGATGGGAAAAAGACTTCGGGCTTTTCAGGTTGTTGCTGGTTATCAAGCAAGCCATGGTACCGTCAGAGACCTCTTGACTGGGGGCGCCGAAACCAGACCGGAATAAGACTCGGGGACAGCGGTGCGGGTCCAGCCCTGAGGCTGGACCAGCCGACGAAGCTGGGCTTCTAGTCTGTGGTCCGAGGCGCCACGCATCGAGATGGCTTGCTTTTCCACGTCCCGTTTCTTTGGTTGTCTGCTCAAGCTGGAGCCCCCAAAACATGTGCGGGAGGATGTCTGGGTGTGATACGAAGCATAGGAATTTAGTAGAGATATGGGTTTAATAGGATAACATGATTCTAGTGCCTTGAAATAAAGAAGTGTTTATTGGCCGCTTTGGCCGAAGCATGCTCTGAATACATCCGTCAAGATCCTTGACATCGGATAGGGAGGCGCAAGTGTATGGAGATGCGGTGAGTAAAGGTGTTGGTAGGATGCCAAATCGCGGATGAAATTCCAAGGCTTCTGTTGACATTCGACAAAACACATCATGCTCGAACGGGAGATGCAGAAGCCAGGTGCAGCGGCACAGGATGGGTGACAATGGAGAGGGGAAGCACGAATTCGAAGCGAACACGGCGATTCCTCTTCGTGGAGAGGCGGACGAGGGAGGCGGTCAGGCTAAGCTTGTCATGTCTTAGTCTTTGGGCCCAATGGGATGGCAGGCTTGGCGGGGCGAGGTTCAGCTTGCGCGAACTATGTCTCCGAGGTGCTAGAGTTTAGAACAAGCCACACGGTACCCACGCCCGCATTCGGCATTGTTGGCGTGGCAAGGCTGAGAGGGACGATGTCAAAGGAGAATGATAGCTTCGCGGGCGACCGAGTAAAGATGCCACTTACAATGTGGCCTGCGCCTGTAAGGTGGAACTAGGGGATGTGAAGACAAGACGAATTCAGGACTTGGGCCAAACAACTTGTAAACGGGGATGACAATGATGTATTAAGTTGAATAGCACGACCCAAAACGTGGGACATAATCGTCTATTCACAGACTCCTTGGCTGGCTCAACCCTGAACCGTTCGTTCGGGTCATGAGTCGAGCTCCTCCCGTCTAGGTCGAACAGCAGCCTACTCAACGGCGGTTGTTCGCGGCACCTGTGTGGTATTGACAGGCTTCGCCTTTCCCCCCACTCAGTTCAGTTTGGGTGAGTTGATCTGGCAAAAGGCCGACTCGGGCAACCAGCCGCGAGTACTGCTCACGCAGCCCCTCGTTGCTGGGATTGCTCTCCACAACGGTCTTAAAAGACGCTTTACCATGGTTTCCAGCATCCCCTGCCAAGAGGCGGGCCATAACCTCTTTGTGGCTGCTTGTGCTTGACTGGATACCAGGTGTATGGTAGGACTCGGCACTTTGGGAGGAGGCGTTGTTTTGTGCCTCTTGATCCCATTGTTGGTGCAATGTCTTTAGCGTAACCTGCACGTCTGAAATCCATGGCTTCCCATAAACCCAATAGCCTTGCTTTAAGCCATGCTCGAGGAACCTCTCCGTTGCCTGCAACTGAAATGCCTGGGCCGAAAAAACCAGAGAGGCACCACATAATTCAGGGCCAAGGGACAATCCGTTTTGCTGGTAGAGGGCAAAAAGATTGTTGAAGAACGGCAAGAAGTTGCGGAGAGCGAGGGAGTTCTTCTCGGGTTTCGAAAGAGCACAGAGTAGAACTCGGGCGATGTGCCCATTGCACTGGCGAACGTGCAAGAGTCCATCATCGCTTTGATGGAGAAGGAACAAGATGTAGCGTCGAAGGTCCTTCAGGCTGTCTTGTTTGCTTATAAGCTCTTGTGAGATCGCAACGGTGTTTTGGGGTTTAGGTGATGTGCTGGGTTTCCTGTGTAGCAGCCAGCTCAAAAACGACTTTTCGTCCCGAAAGGTGGACATGGGAATCGCGTTCTCGAAAGCCACCGAGCTCAAGACCCCGTCAGCGTCGGATCCGTAGGCTCGTTTTTTATCCGGACGTCTTCGATGTTTGGGGGCCCCTCTCAGAGCAGTGGTCATAATGTCAAGGTCGGTGACGGTCCAGCGTTGACGCCAGTAGTCGCGGCCAGCGACTTTGGCAAAGTTGTCGCTCACCCGCTGGCGGTCAAACTCGAAGTTCCTGATTCGTTTCCATGTGGCGTCGATGCGAGGCATCTCGCTCCATTTCTTTTGCTGAGCGGACCTTTCCGCATTGTCGTACGGTCGTGCATACCCGCTGTCCCAGCTGTCGAGATCCAAGACCACCTCTGGCACCTCAAAGGGCCGCCACGAGGGGGGTATTTGTGGTTCCGCTGACCTTTTCTTGGTGTGAACCCACGGCCGTCTCACCTGAGACTGCGATGATGTGTGAAAACAGGCATTCGTAGCAGTTCTGCCGACGGCGCCTGCGGTTCCCAGCGGTCGCATGTCTGAGAAGTGGTGTAAATCGAGACCCTAATAAGCTTCGTTCGCTTTCCAGAGGCTATTCACGGGCACGCGACGTGATTAAAAATCGTCCGATCGTTAGAGCCGCATATTGAGGGGGCGCGTCGAGGCAATGAGATGCAAGGCGAGGGCACGGCGCAGGGGTTTTGGGGTAATGGCAGGGATGGCCTGCCCGCACAGCCACGGGTGTTTCTTGCAGGCCCCGTCACCCGTATGGATCCCGCGGGGGAGCGGCGGTGGGTCGATCTATTCTTCCGCTGTTCAGCCATCAATCTCGAGCCACTAGCCACACAATCATTGCCGTACCGGTACGTACGTTGCTCGGGTGGCTGATCTGACTGAATCTTTGCTATTTTAGTAATCCTAGGCCTCAACACACTTTTCGGGTTGACTTGGTTCTTGATACCCCTGAGAGCGAAGGGTTTTTGCACTCTTGTCTGGTAGAAGATCCTGGACAGGTTTCACGTAACCAACTCAGGCTGTTTCGTATATGCTGAAGAGAAGCCCGGCATAGAGGCATAGAGGCCTTCAGATAAGCAATGCAAGAGACATCCGTATTCGACTTCCGTGGCCATACACTGAAGATGGGTAAGGTAAGTGGTTCTTCCGATTTCAGGCACACTGGAAACTTCTGGAGTGACTCCTGCAAGGCAGACGCCTCCTTCACAGCTGGCAGCCGCTCGACCTCGCATGCCGATAAGAAACTAGTGCATTAACGCGTTTGCGAGGCAAACCGGTGCGAAAAATGCAGCGGCCAGCCTAGTCAAACAATCATGGAGTGGGACTCGCGGTGCACATTCAACTCGTGTAAAAATGGAGACTGCGGGGAGAACTAACGCAAGGACATGGACAGACATCTTCAGAGAGTGCATGAGCTTTGCGAACCAGCTCGGAAGTCGGTGAGAAAGGAGCAAGTGATCAACTGAATATATTACCTCGCGGCCTTGAATACAGGAAGAGCCGGGGGAAGTGGGGGGCTAGGCCATGGCCGGGCGAGGAGGTAATATGTCAGGGACTGAGACCCTAATAGATGCAACCTGAAGTCAGTACTACCGGATCATCCAGAAACTATATAACATGTTCTAATAGTCAGAAGGAGTTTGTTGGGTTAGATTTGTGTCAGTACAACTAGGGAAAGATGCCGCATTGACTAGTGAGTCGGTGATGTTGATGAAGTCAAACAATCAACTTTGCCAACCTCTCGTCAATCCGTGTCTACTGCAGTTTATTCGGAAGTAAAGAAAATGAATTGAAATGAAGTACAGATTTTGTTGCACTGCCTCTTGTATCTCTAGGTATTCTGTGGTTCGTGTCGAACCTCGAAAGTGGTGGTGCCCAACAGGTCCATATACGCAAAGCTGATGTTGAAGCAGCAACTATGCTTATCCTTATCAGATGTGGAACTTGTCCAATCAGAGCATCGATTTCAATACTTGGATGGGGTTATTGGTACAGAGCAACGCTAGTTGATCCTTCCCTCGGAGAAATGTCGGTCGAGTCGCAAGTCTGATCCTCAAAGATGTCCCACTCACTCGTCACTTTGCATCACATCACAAGACCCTCCGGAACCACCCATCGCGACTTTTGAACAGCCTACACACGCTCGCCCTCAAGCAAATAACAACCACCACTAGCACAAAACAAACCCAAGATGCCTCCTTCAAAGAAGAGAAAGACAAACACCGGGTCCGCTGCGGCGGAAGATGCGAAACCGACCGCGAAGACGAATTCTGCCCCCCTAAAAGAAACTGAGACGACAGAGACTGAGCCTAATCCTGCCATAAAAGACGCCCCTCCTGCGCCCACAGAACCGGTAGGAGCATCATCATCATCACAGCCCACAGCAGAAGATGCCGCCGCGAAGGCCAAAGATCGCATGGCTCGCTTTAAGGCCCTCAAGGCCCGCGCCAAAAGCTCATCCGACCAAAACTTCAAAGAGGCGACGCTCGAGTCGCAGCGTCTCGCGTCCGACCCGAGCCAGCTCACGGCCATCCACCGCAAGCAGGCCATCGCGTCGCAGAAGCTGCTCAAGGCCGACGTCGAGGACGCCGGCGGCGACTTTGAGCGCAAACGCGCGTGGGATTGGACGATCGACGAGAGCGAGAAATGGGACAAGCACGTCAGGAAGAAGGAGGCGCACCGCGATAACAACGCCTTCCAGGACTACACCGCCGAGAGCAACAAGGTGTACAAGCGCCAGCTCAGGAATATCGCTCCGGATATGGAGAAGTATGAAAAGGACAAGATGGCTGCCATCGAGCGCGCGGCTGCCTCGGGCGGCCTCGACATCGTCGAAACAGAGGACGGAGAACTCATTGCCGTAGACAAGGACGGTTCCTTTTACTCGACAGCCGACTCGACCACATTTGCGCAAAACAAGCCGGACAAGGCCGCTGTCGACCGGCTTGTAGAAGACCTGAGGAGAGCCGAGGAGAACAGACTGAAGAAGAGGAAGGACCGTATGGCGCAGAACGGCGACGACGGCGATGTCACGTACATCAACGAGAAGAACAAGCAGTTCAACCAGAAGCTGGCGCGCTTCTATAACAAGTACACTGCGGAGATTCGGGACAGCTTCGAGAGAGGAACCATGATTTAAAGCGCGGGCGTTTGGGATACTACAGGAAAGGCAAGGCCAGGAGGATATCAAGCCTGTGAGGGGGCTTTTGCATTGGGCAATGATACAGTCTATGACACAATTACAAATACAACATCATGCATTACAGCATGGTTTTCCTCCAACCCTTGTTCGCCAGCTCCTCGAGCTCGGGCACCTCAACCGGACCCTGAACCTTCACGTCGTCGAGCGCTTCCACCACTGCTTCCGCGACGGTCTCGACCGGCAGGGGCTTCACCCCGCTCGCGCCCATGAACCCGCTCAGCACACCTCCCGTTAGCCTGTTGAAAAGCGCACCGGCGCCAGTCATGGCAGCCAGCGGCAGTGTGAACTTCCTCGAGCTGTCGTACATGAACGGCGGCCGCGGGAAGATGCCGCGCATGCGCGGAAACTCGCTGGCGATGGTGCTCTCAGCCTCGCGCTTGGTCGTAATGTACCGTGCGGGAAGGACGGGAGCGCCGGCGGCGGCCGAGATGTACACGAAAGCCTTTACGTCCTCGGCGTTGGCCTGCTTGGCCAAGGCGATGGCGCTGTCGCGGTTCATGACCTCGTAGGAGAACTGGTCCTTCGGGTTGGCGGTTTTCAGGTCACCACCCTCGGACGAAGTCTTGAGGGGGTCGACGCCACGGTCTTTTACGGGGGCAAAGGCCTTTTGCAGGCCCGAGACGGGAGACTCCTGGCCGGAGATGACGCCCTTGTAGTCGGCCTCGAGGAGGATACCCATGCTGTGGACGACAAAGTCGGCACCCTTCAGGAGCGGGGCGTAGGTCACGGGGCTGAGCATGTCGGCGCGCTCCCAGGAGACTTTGTGTGCCCATTGAGGAGGGGCCGGTGATGAGGTCACAGCGGACCATTTGGGCTCGCCCGAGCGGCTGTTGAAGCATGTTAGATGTGGTGAAGAGAGGAAACGAGCCGTCGAGGGCCTCGTGGGCGTGCGTACCTGATGGATGTGACATTCCAGCCTCTTGCGACGGCGTATTTGCAAATCCTTGACCCGAGGAAGCCGTTTCCTCCGCACACGACCAGCTTCTTAGCGACGGCTGAGGTTGACATGGTAGTGGGTGATGTGAGATGAGTGGCCGCGCGACCAATTACGTCAAGACGAGAGTTTTGCTGTGAGAATGCGATGAGCTGAATGAGAAGCTGGATCGACGTTGTTGGAGAGACGGCCGGGTTCGGCGTTAGTTAGCTGCCAGTGTCTTCCGAAAGGTGGTTCGATGCCGTTGCGGACGCGGGTGCAAAGCTGCTAAAAAGTCATGAAATCATCATCCGGCCGAGAGCTCCCCAGCTCCTCAGTGGAATCCTGCCAGGGGTCCTGACGCTGCAGCTAGAGGGTTGCAGCTACAGGGGTTGTGGCAGCTGGCTCCGAAGCTCCCCATTGGTGAGATCTGATGGCCCAGTGCCTGAACCTCTACTAAACGGCTTCTGTCGTTGTGACACTAAAAACATCCACAGTGACGCATCCTCGTACACTCAGGTCGGTCAACTTTCGTTGAAAATAGAATACGATGGATGCTCTTCTCAATCTGGAGTTTAGGGCAACACACAAGTGCTTGCTTTACCTGCCGCGTCATGTGGGAGCTTGTCCAATAACTCTGATGGCCACTCATGCTGCCAAAGCCCGAAAACGACGGTGTCAAAGTATCTCAGTGGTTAGCTGAAGATGCTAAAATTCAATCTAACGTTTGTGACCAGAGCCGATGCCTTTTTATCCATGGCTGAGCAGCTTTCATTAGGTAGACATATATAAATGAACTGAAGCTACCTCCAAGTGCAAGGTGACGAATCAGTCACAGTTTCCTTTTCCTAGCAAGTACGTTTGTCACCAAAACGTTCTAGCTCATACATTGAAGTCGTCATATTGCACACGTCTATTACCTACCTTGCATATAGTTCAAGATGGTGAAGGAATGTCACTCTTTCCTACGACTTGGGCCGTGGATCAAAAAAGGTAAGTCCACTCACTCTAGGACAAGACCCAGAGCTCGGTCGTTATTGACTGAGGTGGTTCAGTCCGAGCCCCACTATAATCTCGCCGTAAGGCTGTCAAGGTCGGCTGCAGGAACCATTTAATTCTTGCCGTCCTCGCTCGTGAACCATTTTCTCCCCACTACATCCCCAACACACTTACACTCTACTTGTCCTTTCGACCAGACTACACTCTATCAATCGTACTACTTGTTTTATTCACACCAAAATGGCGCCGCCCAGCAGCCTCGGCAAGCGCGTAAAGGGCACACAGATCAAGCGCCCGTTCATTTACGGCACGACCGCCCGCCCCTTCGATCCCGAAACCAACCCCAAGCCCGAGGGCGTCCCTGAAGACCACACCCACTCGTGGGAGGTATTCGTCAAGGCCATCGATGACACCGACATCACATACTGGCTGCGAAGAGTTCAATTCAAGCTCCACGAGTCTATTCCCAACCACGTGCGCAGTATGTCACTCTCACTCCGGCATCTTTTGCGATGGCGCCTGTGCTAATTCTCCATAGTGATCGATGGCGAGCCTGGGAAGCCCTTTCTGATTCAAGAAACCGGATGGGGAGAATTCGAGATCACCATTAAGATGTACTACGCCTCCGAGTCTGGAGAGAAGCCCCAGACTCTATACCACAACCTTCGCCTACACCCGTACGGAAGGACCGACGCCGAGAAGGAGCAGATGCTGCGGCAGAACGACGGCGAGATACGTGCATGGGCCTTTGACGAGCAGCTTTTCAACGAACCGTACGAAGCCTTCTACGAAATTCTCACATCCGGCGCGCACCCCAAGGGCCACCCTGTCGGCAAGGGAGGCAAGGGCAAGAACAAGCCGATCCCGCCTCTGCCCGAGAAAACATCGAACGTACAGGTGGCGTGGGAGCGTAGTGCGCTGTTGCCCGCGGTGAACAAGCCAGGCCAGCCCTTCAGTCTGGAAACAGAGCAGATCGAGGTGAAGAAGCTCAGGGAGGCAGAAGCCAAGGTAAAAGAGATGGCCAAGCAACAGCTGGAGACTCTGAAGGAGAAGGAGGCCCAGCTGGCCTCCCTGAAAGCCGAGAACGCTGCTGCTACGACGGCCGGTTAGAAGCCGCCGAACCCAGGATTCAGACGACCTTCTCGCAGGGCGGCGACAACTGCCAATCAGTCAGTCACGCTGACGAAAAATGAAGAGAAGCGGCAACGTGTCAAGGCGGAGTTGGAGACTATCTGCCGTGGAAATTAGGGACCAGAGCATGGTGCTCCGTTTTCTGAGACGCTGTTGCTGCTGGCAATAGCGGCCTACTTGGCACCAGTCGCATTCCACTGGATGATTTACCGACGACGCTCCCGACTTGGCCTTCGAGGTGGAGGCGGCGATGAGTTAATGGCGGTTGTCGATGACGAAGAGGCTAGCCTTTCGGGATACGAGAGCCCACTCAATGGACGTTCCACAAACAGAGTTCCCAGCAGGCCTACCTGTGAGCCCGAACACGGTATGGACACTGATATGACAGAAGCGGGCTCTTCGATGGAACAACATGAGATATTGGGTGCTGATCTCGTGCCACCACGCCATCATAGGCACTTGGACGCCGACGCTTGTCACCTTGGCGATGATGAGAATCTGGACCACTGGGCTGCTCAGCGTCAACACTACACAATACGTTCGCTACAATCGAGGCGGTTACTAAAAGTTCCTGTCTGCCGTCCAGATACGGACTCGTCGAATAATGAGTCAGGAAGAGCAAGCAATTTGTTCCGCTCAAACTACCCTTCAACGCCGATCCAGCCTCCGATGTTGAGCCGCCAGTCACCGCTGAGCTACCATCAGTGTCCGAGGTGTCCTTCAACGCACCGCCGTCAGGGCCGGTTTACAGCAAACCGTACACATCTCTCCTGTCCCATTCACGGTCCTGACGTGGTTTATGGGCAAATTCCCGACATTACCCTAACGGACGATGCGGGTTCAATGACTGCGTGGACGCGGCGGCCGGTAGCCCCAAGTCGGCAAGATGTAACCATGACCGATGCGCTTCCTCATGGGCTTTTGCCAACTCAAAAGCGTCACGAGCCCCCCACGGACGAAGAGTCAATCCGGAAGAAGTTGAAGGATGCGCAGGGTAACGAGCAACGGGTTGACAAGTATAAATGAGGGTGTGGTGGGACTCCCAGAGAGCGCGAGTACTGGGTACGGAGACATCAAGCCAAGGTTGTCGCATAGAACAACATTAGATAACAGTCACAGATGAAGCAGGGATGGACAAAGAGTATGCATAGAAGATGGGAGTGTTTGATTCTTCCAACATGCCTAATTGACATGGGTTTATCGCCATTAGACTCGGTCTCTGAGTCAGGCCTAATTCGCAAAAAAAAAATTGAGATGTAGTGATGGTATCCACGATATTTCCTTCTTCCATCACCGTCTTCCTCCTCTTCTAGAAATCCATCGGATATCAAAAGCCGACCCCGCCCTTTCCCTTGTGTTATACACACCAGCTCTACCCATCCGAAGGCCCGTCGAGGTTCTCGTCCGGTGGGGATGATTCCGCAGCAAACGATCCAAAGCAAAGACAAAGGAAACAAGTGGTTTGGTTGTGGTAAAGGGTGCGCGCCTCGCAGGCGGCCCTTTGAAAAAAAAAAAATAGCAGCGCTGATAACTTTTCTGTGTGTAAAAACGGCCGTCGTCAAACGGGCATGAGCGAGGCTGTTTCTCTCCAAATCATCAGTCGCATGAGTATGTGGTTGGTAGGCCTCCCTTTCTTGGTGATCCCAACCCGAAGAATCCAAAATGTTCGGAGAAGAGGCCGTGGTTCTCCGACTCGATCCCATTCTTTTTTTGATGCCGATGACCCCCAACCCCCTTTGGGTTTCCCATTCGAACGCCATGCGGTATCTACACATTAACACTAACAGCAAAAGGTGCAAAGAAGAGTGCGGTCTCTTTGACCGACTCATTCTCGCCCCCCAAAAAATTCCAAAGTTGAAGATGTTCCCCGTAACGCCATGCGAGGAGGAAGTGATGGAACAGACGGAAAGGAGATGTAGTCCAGCAAAGTGGATGTATGTTGGTGTTTTGTACAGTTTGTACGGCAAATCACCTGCCTGAAAAAGCAAATGATTTTACGTTGATGCCTCGTAGGCCGGAGGCGGGACGTCTTCCCGCTCGTCCCAGAGATTCGGATGGCGGCTCTTCTCGTCGTAAACGCGACGGGCAATCTCGCCGGCCATCTTCATGATCCAGGCCTGTTCGTAAACAGATGAGGTTTCGGAGCTCGCGCCTTGGCGCGGCTTCTCTGCGTTGGCCTTCTCACTGGGGAAAGCTTCAACCTTCTCAGTCGTCTGAGGCTGAGGCTGAGCAGCGCTCTCAGTTTCCCGGGTACTGTCCAGTTTGATGGGCACGCTAGGGACACCTTTGGGCGCAGCGTAGAAATCCGGCTGCAAGGGAGGCCTAGAGGGGAAGCGAGTCCTCTCCGTGGGGCTGAAGCGGACCTTGCTAGGGGTCGACTCTGCCAGGTTCGCAAGGGCCTCCTCCTCCTCCTCCTCCTCGGGGTCCTCAGCAATAGAGCTAGTCATGAGGGGTTCGGTGGAGGGGCCAGCGACGGAGGCAGAGTCGGATGCCATCTCTGAGCACGTCTCGCTGCCTTCGGGAGTCTCGCCGACCTCGCTCTTGGACCGTCGAAGATTGACGACTCTCGTCTTCTTCTTCCGACCAGCATACGACTTCGACCTGATACCGGCACCCAGAGACAGTCCGGTGGTGGCCGAGTTGAGGCTCACCATCGAAGGCCGAGATGGGAGGTGGCCGTGAGCAGCACTGCCAGTATCGGAGAAAGTATACGTAGTGGAGGTTCCATGGAAGGAGTTAGTCTTGGACAAGCTGGGCGTCGCAGTTGGCGGTGTGCTAGTGGGTTCGGACACTGCAGGTCCGGTCCAGGCTCTAAACACAACATCGCGGATGCCTGGCGTGAAGAGGGAGAATGTACGGTGGGAGTCGTTCAGAGCAGCAAGCCTCAGCAGGTTCTTCTGGGAGAAGAGTGACTGAACCTCCGGGCCCCCTTCAAGCGACAGCGACGAGACTTCGTTGGCGTCGAGAAGGTTGCCGTTGGCGTCGACGGGATCCAATGGCGGACTCGCCAAGGGGTCGACCTCTGTTTCCTCGGTGTCCTCCTTGGGCGCTTCCTCCTCCTTTGGCAGCGAGTCGGGACACCACAAGCGCAGTGACAGGCGGTGGATAATGGCGGGGAGCTCGTCCATCATCAAATTCCTCAGCTGGGCCTCGATAGTGCGCTGAAGATAATCGCGCACGAACTGTATCGAATCAAAGGTCGAGGAGACCTTGAGCGACTCGAGCGGGTCATTGCGGAAGACCAGGGTCAGCCCCTTTTGCCGGGAGAAGACCAGGATGATGAAGGCCGAAAGCTTGATCTCGGAGAGAGTTATTGACAGCGGGATAGTAAGACCCGACGCGGCCGCCAATGGTTGCGGTGATGTGAACCCCGGCTTGGAAGACAGGTAGGTGTTCAGTGGATTTGCCTGATTGTTGATATATTAGCACTGCTATGACGCACGTCCGTTTTTTTGTGGAGGGCCGAAGAGGGAACCCGAGACGCGGATCCCGGTCAGGTAATTTCGACTTCAATGCAAAGGCGCGGCTAGGGGAAGAAATGTTTGGTGAGGGAAAAACAAATGCCGGGATGTCTGGAGTAAGATTCGCAGAAAACATCTGACAGGTGGAAATGATGTGGGATTGGTGAATTGACGATGTCTTTGAGGAAAGCATCACTTGATGCTGTCTCGGCTTTGGGGTGGAGGGGATCCAGTCATTCCAGGCACTGGCATGGAGCTGAAATCGAGGCGCAGAAACGTTTCGGTGCAGCGCAGTCGCGCTGGAACGAAAGTGATGGCGAGGTCGTGCGTGGAGTCGTGGTACGGGTAATGGTGAGCTCATTACCGCGGCTGCGAAACAGAGCTTTGTCTCCGCGAGTCTACGTGCAAGGAGGGCCAGAGCGGCTGCGGGACAATGGATGGGGGAAAGGGGAAGAAAAAAAAATCGGGCATACCTGAACTCTGGTTTTCAGCGTCAAGAAGGCGTCGCCGGAGTAGCACATCTTGAATATGCCACGAAATCGGTCCTCGGCAATGTCGCCAATCTCTAGAATCTCCAGCTCCGGGGGCACGGAGCCCAAGTTGAACTCGGTAACGAGGATGTCATCGACAATGATCGGGGGCTTCGGTGATTTGTTCAAGGCGGTCGTGAGCATCTCTCGGGCGCGCTGGTAGAACTCGGCATCGGCCGTGAGCGGCGACCAGTTGAAATTGAAGGCCATGTTGAAATGGCTTTAACTGCGGCCAACCATCGAAGGGCGAGGTGGTATAGGCCTCAGGGCCGGGGCGACGATAGGAGGAGGTTCGATCGGGGATGTGTTTATGGCTATGCAATCGATGACGGAAGCTCTGCGATGATGTCTAGTCGAGGTAGTGGGACGGACTCGTTGAGGAGCAGATGGAATTAGATGGTAGAGTCGGGGAGGGAAGAGCCGTAGATAATCTGGGGGAGGTGCGGGAGGAGAAGGAGGGAGGGATATGTTGGAGATGGTCGATTGATTGTAGATCCAGCTGTGTTGTGTGGTGGTGGTGGTGGTGGTGGTGCAGCCTGGGCGTGTGTACGTTTTCCGGCGAATGACGCTGGTCGGGTGGTACTACTATGTATCTCCTGGAGGCTTTCGCTCTTCGGAAAGCAGAGGGAAGACTCGGAGGTAGGGTGGTGCGGTGCGGCCTTAGCGCGAAATTTTTCTTCCACCTGCAAAATTTCTGATACTTTTTTCTCTGGTTTCTGACTGGGTGCTGCGACTCTGGGCGACTCCTTGCTGGGGTCGGGTCCTGCGAGTGTCGCGTGCAGGAGGCGCTGCGAGGGCGACTGAGTGGAGCGCTAAGGGTGAAGCGTGTCCCAACTTGGGGAGGACGGTGGACGACCCGCCCACACCAACGCTACAACGGCCTGCAGCGTGACGGGCGCCCCCTAAGCCACAGTTCTGGCAAAAGGAGGGAGGGAAAGGGAGAGACCGGAAGGGAGGGTGTCCCACTGTTTCGGAGGAGGGCCTGCAACCTCGCCCTGCTTGCCGCGGTTTCTTGACAATCCCGTAAGTCACACACACGCTCGCAGCACCCACAACACCCACACCCAAGGAAACAAACCCTCCTTCAGGGTTCAATGCCAACGGTTAATGAGATGCTATGCGCCGGAAGCACCTAGCGCTGCTGCTGGGCCGGTTGCTCCATTCCATGGCCGACTTTTGCTTGCCAGGTTGCAGATGAACCAGACGGTGGCAGTTTAGCGGGTAATGCGAATCACGCGAGGTCTCCCATCGGCCTTTCAAGGCAAGGTACTATCTGTCATATGAAGCTCCGAGGTATCACAGATCACCGTCCCGCAGAAGGCCGCTGATAGGCCAAGAGATGTGCCTGCCAAACCTTACAGCCCAGAAAAGACGATGGACGATTTGGAGCCGGCGTCTCTCGTTTCCGCAAGCGCGCGAACCATCTGGGGGCGGGGACTTCGAGGGTCGCAAAGACTCTTCAACGAGATCTGGTCTGTTCATTTCCAGTCCTTTGGGGGTAAAAACCCGGTTCTCCGGGTGCCATCGCATCGCGTGGGAGCGTTGGTCGCCATTGGGGGCCGATCACGAGGGACGGGCTGTCAGCGAAAGATGGGACGACGCCGACAGACATGTGGTCCGACATCAGGGCACCGTTAGTAGAAGCATGAGGTGACGGTGACGGCCAGCCAACACTGCCCGTTTCTTTCGGGCGGATGCATTTGCATGAAGGCTGAACCTGGCAGCCAAATTGGCATGGCCGTCATACCATCCACTGTGATGCATCTCGGTTTAGTACCGTGGCATAGTGCAGGGGAAGAAAGGGTGATCAAATCGCAGCGTTCGAACGGGTCTCGGGTCCAGCAGCGCGTCCGCTTTCTCGGCCGCTGTCCAGTCGCTGATCCGTTTGGCCATGATCGACATTGACCGTCAAATATGATCTGCCCAGAGCCAGCGTCCGTACCTTCTTTCCTCTTTGCTGTCCGTCTCCGGTCCAATGCCTTCTTCCCCTCCCCTTCTCCACAGACCACCCTTCCTGCCCCAGTCCCTCGGCCATCTTTTCTCCGCAATGCTCCGCGTAACGGAGGAAGAGGGCCAACGGACGACACCGGCCAGGAGAAGACGACACAATGCGCTCTAGGCTCTTTCATGGGCGTTGGAGCTGCCGGTGGGGTTGCCTGACACGAGCAAGACGAAAGCCCATCCACTTGCGCGCTGCACAGGCCAGGTTTCGGTCCTCCTCCGGCTCAGTCCGGCCGAAGAATCGCGCGTCGTCGCCAATGCAGCAACCCCAAAGCCCGCTTTCTTGATTTTTTCTTTTCCATGCAGGGCATTCACGTCAAGTATGTGGGGTTCGACGCGTGCCGTAGCAAATCGTCGGATGGGATTCTTGACAAGACGTCTGGGCCCTCTGAGGAATTCTGGTACTCCATCTGCAGACTGCAACCGCACACCAAGGTACTATGAGAAAGAGGATCCAACCTCTCGCGAGACTGTGGGGTAAGACTTAGGTAACACAGGTACCTCGAGGCGTTGCGGCAACCTCGTCTTGTCCAACGGCTCGCAAAAGCCCAAAACATGACCAAAAAAAGTTTTGAGGCAAACGTCTTGTTGCGGGTGTGGGAGGATTCATTGGTCACCTCGCCAGCCTCTGCTGAACCAAGGAACTTGCCTGCTACCGTTACCGTTCCTCAAGGTACCAATGATTTGACGGAAAAAGAATCTCTCTCGGCTTACCCAGCGCGCCAACACCGGAATCAGCCAACTTTTTGCTCCACACCCGAAGGGGAAATTCTGTCGTCATCCCGGGATACCGCTGCCTTCGAAAGAACAACAAAGATCTAAGAGCAGGCAGGAGGGACACGGGGAGACGGAGGACGCCCCGTTGCAACACAGCAACAGACGTCAGATGGACCCTTGTCGCCATCGCTCAAAAGTCCCTACACATCAAAGGAAACCACAGGTCGAGGCAACGCTGCGCGCTATCGACAAGCAACCTTCGATTTGGCTGTACGCATGTGGGGAACCACGAGTTACCTTGGCTACTCTCTCTCTCTCTCCCTCTATCTCTCTACGTTTCTGTGAGGCGCAACCCGTCGGATCGTCTTGCTTTCTTGGCTCCGCAGCCAGACTCCAAATCCCAATCCGGCAAGGCTAAGAGGCAGCTGAGGCAAGAGAAGGTACCCTCGAGACATCATCCTGGGGAAAAGTGCGCATGCGAAATCGTTTAGTGCCCTCGATTGGAGTAAGCCGTCTTTTTCAGCCGAGAAAGGCCCCCAAGCTACATCGCCTGCCGCACTTCGACCTTGCTGCTCACCATGGGCATTTCTCCCACCTTTGCCAGATCATCATCGATTACTACGGTCGTCTCGCAAAGGTCGTAACAGTTGCCTTATACGCCTCATTCCGTTCAGATACAGTCACCCTCACCTTGCCCACCCAATATCCCATCTGGGCAGAAGCCTTCGACTGGCAAACTGTTACCATCGCCGTCGCATAGGGGCCATTGCTCGTTCCTAAAAATGGCTAAACTCATGACCATACCCACTGACCTGACTGCCCGCATGTCCTCAGCAGAGCCGCCAACTTCCAAAGATGTACCATTACCACACAGCCCCTCGGGCAAAGTGTTCTCGATACAAGTGAAGGTGACCGATCAAGTCCACGTTAGGCCCTGGACACACGCTGTGTATGTCGGTGAGGGCGCTGCCAACGTATTGTTTATTGCGTTTCTTTACACCAAGTATGAGCGACAGCACGACAAGGACAGGACCGAGGCCGACCTGTTGACCAGTTAGTTCAGGTGCCCTACCCAGGACTTGCGAGTCCAGCATTGCTAACTTCGTGCGCCATAGGATTTCTACTGAGGGTTCCAAAGGAAAACAAAGACCCCGCCAAGCCGTTCTACGAACCAGGACAGCAGTACAAGTTCTTTTGGGAAAAGATTGCACCCCTGTTCAGCTACCGCGCGGATATGTTGGCGGAGGTGACGTGGGCAAGGATTCACTCGGACGCTGTCTGGCACTTACATAAAGTACTGAAAGCGATGGACTCGGCACCACCTGGGTCGAAATCGCGACCACCCAAATTTCGAGGTGACAAGATTGCCGGTTGGGATCTGGTTCTCATGATCGAAAGTATGCGTGCGAGAAGCGAAGACGAGCGCGTCGTCGAATTCAAGCCCAAGTGGTTGGCTCAGTCACCATCGGCCCCGAAAGACGCCAACACATGCAGATGCTGCGCCCTTGCGGCCAAGAAGTTTGCCAGCAACAAAGACAGAGGCCTGGACCCGCGAGATTATCCTTGTCCTCTGTGGCTGGATCCCGAGCGAACAACGCCTATTGGGAAAGAGGGTGTGCGGCAGAAGGCCCTCGAATGCCTGTTCCAGAACAGCAGCTTCGGAGACAACAAGCACGCCTCTACCCTCTACGAGCTGCTGAAGAAAACGGCTCTCCTTACGCTCTTGAAGAAACACCAGGTAGCGAAGGATTCTCGTGGGCCTCTGCTGGCAAACAAAAACGACGAAGAGTTCTGCACGGCAATGACGCTGCGCGACTGCTCCCTCTACATGCGGTACAAGGTTCAAAACATCGGTGGCAAGGAGACTGTCGTGGCAGAGTCTTTCGAGGCGAAACTCGCCGATCTCGACAAAAAGAATGCGGACTGGAAGTTTACTGAATGGCGAGATAAGGAACAGGCCTTGGTCGACGAAGGGTGGTACACAGGTCGTGGGTGTATGAAGAACTGCGCGCTCCAGAGATGAGTGGAACAGGAGCGGTCACATCTGTACAACAGTGTATAACTATCATGTATTAAAGCGTAATGTTTAATAGCGACTAGTTACCAACAACGCTGGTGTAACATTGATGCTTCAGAGGCGCGTGATGGCATACTAACCATACCTCTGGATAATGTTATTAGTATCTCCATCACATTTCCCCCGCGTTTATTTTTCTGCCTCCTTCGTCTTTGCCGGCTTCATTGACTCCTTTGCTACCTCTGTCGTCCCTCCAAGTATTGGTACAAAAAGAATGCTACAGTTGTGATGGGAAGAAGAGCAGGATAACGACCCAAGCCCGGCCTCGATATCAGCAGTGTGTCAAGCAAACCCTTGCAAGATTGTGCGTGGTGAGGCAGTGTATTAGACTACCATACCTCTCATCATGGTTATCATCATGCTCCAGATCTAAAAATCCCCCGTCCGAGTGAACAGCAACGTATGCAAGCTATTCGGATACACCCGTAACGCCGTACCCATATATGAAACCCCATTAAATACCCCCAACCGTGAAGCTCAAAAGACTGCCCGTCGTCAGTCCAGCCACGAGACACAGGCCCATGAAGCCGCCCGTCGCCTCGCGCTCGCCCTCGTCGACCCACTCGCCGGCCGCCATCATGCAGCTCGAGCCCAGCCACCCGTTGGTCAGACCGAAGAGGAACTGCACGACGACGAGGTAGAAGAAGTCGCTATTGACCGCGGCGCCGCGACCGCCAATGTTGCAGAGCAGGTATAGCGGCAGGAAGCCCATGCGCGCGAGACTCACGGCGAAGAGCGCCGCGGGCCGGTGGCGCAGAGAGAAGGGCAGAATCGTGGCCATACGGCCCGAGAGATCGCCCAGGTTCCAGGCGAAGAAGGCGAGCGGGATGAAGGCCGCGGGGCGGAAGAGCGAGCCCGAGGGGGACTTCTCGTCGCCCGGGTACCGCACCGAGAGGATCTTGGTAGTGAAGACGGGGAAGAACATGGCGACGGCGAAACACATGAAGATGGCGCCGGCGAGCCAGTGCAGCTTCTTGAGGAGGCGGAGCGGGGAGACGACCTTGCGGGCGGCGCGCTCGGCCTCCTCAACCGAGGTCAGGGACTCAGCCATGCGATCGACCATGCGGGTCTCGACGATGTGGTTGTGGCGGCGGACGAGCGGGATGAAGGCCACGAGGGCCGAGATGGACACGGCGACGGCGGCGAGGAAGTAAACGAATGCCGAGGAGCTCAGGGACCGGACGTCGTCCTCCGCGCCGGCGGCCTTCTCGGGGACGGCGAGGACGGTGATGACCTGCGCGATCGGGGGCAGCACTCCCGCGACACCCTGGCCGGCCATGAGGGCCTGCATGTACTCCGGGCGGCCGAAAGAGGCGGCGAAGGCGAAGGCGCCGTTCTGGATGAGACCAGTGGCCCAGGAGCTCGAGGCGACCATGAGGAGGATGAAGGCGAGGTAGGCGGCCGGGGAGGCGTCGAGAACGAATGAGGTGGATGCCGTTAGGAGGGAGAAGATGACGCAGTTGAAGAGGAGGGCAAGGTTGATTCGAAACGGGTACGAGGCCGTGTATTGGATGTTTGTGAGGATTAGCATGGCCGTGAGGTTGGTCAGGGTCGAGACGGTGAGGATGGCGGACTGGAAATTTTGCGAGATCCAAAGGTCGGACTGGAAGCGGACGTGGAAGTAGGGCGCGGCGGCGAGGAACATGTTCCTGAGGGACACAGACTGTCAGTTGCATGCGCAGAGGGGACTCGGGAGACGGAAGAGAGATGTCAACATACCATGCCCACAGCATCGCCATGCCCAACCAGGCGAACATGATGTACTCGGACCAGGAGAAGGGCACCTCCTCCTGGCTCTCCAGCGGCGCGGAGCCATCGAGCTCACGGCCTTCTTCGGCCAGGGGCTCGTATTCCTGGCGATCCGGCTTTTGATGCTTCCCCAACAGTCCCCTGATGCGCTCCATCTTGGACTGTCTCGTTTCCCTTTCGGGACGTCGGTGCAGATGGAGACGGAGGTCGAGCTCAACTCGAGAGAGCGAACCGCTGTCGTACGGTTCTTTGGGGGCTCGGGTGCTTCGGTGTAGTGTCGCAATCGATCGGCTGGATAGTCGCTATGGGAATAAAGCGTCGGTGTTTCGTCCAGAAAACCCAGCCTTCTTCACTGATCGTCGAAATCCGGGGGTACGCGCTGCGTCGTCGGTAACCGTTGCCGATATCTCCCCCCGTTCACTGCTCCCACATGCGCCGGCTCCGTGGACCAGTCAAAGTAGGTACAGTAAAGACCGAGCCTCTCCGCTGTTTCAAAGGTATCCGTATCACGACGAAGAACGTGTACAACAAGTAACAAGTGCCTTGGTCGAGGAACAGAAAGAGGAGAGACAAGCAATCATGTGCAGCGTTCACCAGATTGCTGTCGTCCACTCAGATGGGGGGACAAGTCGATGACCACGCGCCGCGCTTCTTAGATCTGGGGCTGGTTCCGGGCGGACGGCGGGGGGTGCGTGGGGGGCTCAGGTGCACCGATTACCTCAGCGAGCTCCGCTGCGCTTCTGGTGACATAACCGTGCCCAGCGAACGGGTCCTTGCGCTGCCATCTGTGGTGGAAGGTCGAACAAGCTTATTCCTAGGCCCCCAACATCCGCCCCATCTTAATTACTAGTGCTGCCTCAACGCCGTGCATTCGAGCCATACTACAACTAGAGGTATGCGCAGTCACCATGATCAACCTGGCGTCAATATCGAGCGATTCTAATGTGAGGAATCAGCACCGGGACGTGTCTCCTCAGCCTTACCGATTGTATGCTTCAAGGCTCTGCGACATCCAAAGTCACTCCTCGTTGAGGGCTGATACGGCTGTGATATTAGTGAAGATGATACTAAGTAGCCAGAGACGACGACATTGGGATATGTTCCAATATGTGTTTCCCGTTATCATACGATCGCGACGATTAGCTTGGATGTAGTCTCCGATGCCTTGAGGTCGACTAATTGACGGCAGGGGTGAGCCAGTTCATCTCACTTCTTCGACCGCAGTATGGAAGTCCGCCCGGGAAACGAGGGCTTCACGGTCACATTATCAATGTTTGCAGCCTGGCGAGGGTCTGTAGAGGCGATTTGAGAGTTTAATTCTCCATGATATGGTCATTCTAGACCTGGATACTACTCTCGTATATTGTGGTCTGTAGACGTGCTATATAAAACGGCCATTCGCTGGCTCGGACCAGCATGTATAACCCAGAGACGCTTTGCGGGTTCTACGAAAGCAAGTTCGGCTTTATGGCGTCTTCAGAAAACGCTCAAATCATGGAAATTCCACTCTATATCACCTCTTCAACAACTTCCATCACTTTATCCGCAAATAAACAAAGGTCATTGTCATCAAGCACCGGCCGGTGGCCATCCTCGCTGTTGCGGTCGACGTCCCGCCCATCATTGCGACTACGTGCATGAGCTATCTCGTCATTTAGCATACTGAATTGGTGCAGATTACACATCAAACAACAAATAGAACGAGAGTTCGAGCTTGCACATCTAGTCTACCACCAAGATCTTCAAGATTATACTTGTTGGACCACTTACGACTGATTTCACTTTCGTCCGACGGCAGTAGAGTATAGGTCAGCGGCTCCGCTAACAGCCTTCTTCTTGAAATAATAGCATCAGCTTCTCCGAATTTCTATAGTCGGATGAGACGATTTTAATGCTCAGAGGTCGTCCCTCGACCCTCTAGGAGAGGGACTTGGTTGTATTATGGACATGTATTGCGTGCTGGCGGTGGTCATCACATCCGCTACTGCCATCACTCTCAATCCCGTCAACGACTGGTAAACAACAGACGCCTCCTAGGTTTGCATTGATAAAGCTGGCAGGACCGTCTACACCGAGGCTCTCACTTCGACTGACAGTTCCAAAGATGACATGTGCGAGGTGGCCAGCCATGTTTAATGCCCTTCTGTTGTGGTGCGTGCACTTCCAGGCTGAGATGGAGCAGTTCGCGCACTCGGTTAACGACGATACGATATGGTACTCGATGATCAGACTGTTCGCGTACTGCGGCATCGCGGTGGTATTCATCGCCTGGAGTCTGATGGTGTTACGAGCAAGAACGGGGTGTCTACGCCGGGGGAAATGATGTAAATATGATAAGACTAAACTCACCCTCCTGAGTTTCCCTAGTCGATAAACTCGATTGAACTTACATTGAAGTCATGTTTGTTCACATCTTCCTTTGGTGTTCTCAGCATTTTCCCACCACGGTATCAACGGTTGCTTTCCGCTTCAAGTCACAGCTCTGGAGCCGCTTACCACTCGCCGGGTATTCCTGCGGTAGGATATGAGAATAACAATATCCGTGTTCTCACGTAACCCAACACTTCGGTGAAGCACTCACGGACGATTCGTCTTGAGCCTCACCTTACTACCCGAAACGGTAACACGCCCCAGGCCCGTTCTGCGACCACGTCCCACGTGATGGCAAGATGCTGCGATGCAAGTATGTCGTGCATATTTGCGATATCTCGAGACGTGTTCTGCTCCGCTTCATGCGCGCTTGTGGTCACGGCCGTAATAGTGAGGCCTCCCACGTGATGGGTCGTTGATGCGATGCAGGTATGTCATGCATTGTTTTTTTGTGCGTGTTTCTCAAGAGCCTTGAGGGTCAAAATCGAACACGTTGACAAACCGAAGCTCCAAGATTTTACACTCAAGTCGACAAACCACAATTTTTGATTGGCGGGTTGAGTTTGCCTGTTGCACTGATTGCTGGTCAAGACATGCTGAGTTGTCATACATATATGAGGTCAGCATTTCCCTGGTTACTTGCATTCGAACGCGGGTCTTGTGACGCTGCTAGATAATATTGCTTCTTTGCTTCTTTGGCTTCTTTCTCTTCTTCTCTGCTGTCAAAGCTGCATCCCTCCCGTCCGATCCCTCACAAATGACGACTTCTGCATATCTGGTCTCATTCAAAACGAGTGACTTGAGTAAATGTTCAATAAGGCATCGTTCACATCATTTACGCTTGTGAGCTGAGTGGGCACCTCTACCGGCAGATTCCGCATGAGATGTCGTCGATAACTCATTTTGACTATTCACAATTTTGAGGTACAGTGTAGGATGGCCGAAATGCGTAAATCCATACCCTTCTGGGCGTCTCCAACGTTCTATGGCGAAATCATGACCTGGCCAAGACTCTTAAAGACTCAGGCGTAAACACTCCTGCTCTCCGACCGGATGAGCTTTTCTTCTCCCACAACACGATGCATCTCTGTAGAGAGAGCAAGGCCTAGGCCTTTGCCCCATTCTGGTTGTCGAATCTAGTTCAACAAGCACGTGCGCTAGTCGCCGGGCAAAATACTGATACCGACAAGCTGGGTTATCAGCATGTAAGTGAAAGACGATGAAGAAACGTTCTTGGCTTGCCACATCCACAGTTGCTATCTGTGCTGCAGTCTTTGACAGGTTCAGAAGGGGAGCACTGGGAAGGACGACGGACGGCATCAAAAGCGTTCAAGAGCTGAACTAACGATTGTCGGTGCCTTTTCCGTGAAGACGTAATCTTTAAGAGTAAGACCAAGCTCCTTGTGGCTCAGGGATGTCCAATTATAACCCCTGTTAACTTAGCGTGCCCCAGTGGACGCGTTCCAACTTTCCTGGCCCGGGCCTTGTTCCAGGCGATTTTAGGGGCGCATCAATCAGACAACTTGCTTCGACTGCCGTACACTAGCTTCCGCCCTGCTTAGACCTAAAGTCTGGCAGTTGGGTAGCACATGCACCATCGCCGTTACGATTACTGCAACACTTTTTTCCTTATTGCCGACGACGCACAACGAGGGCTGCAGAATTTCGCAGGGGGTTCAATGCTTCTCATTGCAATGAAGCGCTAATTCCGTTCTTCCCTCTCTTCTTGAATCCATCGACGCACGAGGACGACCAGGCACAACTGGCTGCCACCTCCTAAAGCTCTCGACGACACCTCGATAACGACACAGCCCGCCGCGAGGGGGCCGCGGCAACACCATCACCATGCGCCGTCGCCAATGGACGATGGTCGGCCTCATCGCCTTCCTGACGATATGTGCATACACGATATTCAGACTCCCCCCCGACCAGCGACCGATAGCTTCCATTCCAGGGGTTGCGAAGCCTGCTCCACCCCCGCAAGACCAGAAACCGGCCAGCGATGATGCTGCCAATAACGGCGGCGGCGGCTCTCCTCCCGACAGGCGACCGAAGCCCGCCTCCGGCAGCGGCTCACATCCCATGTGGCATCTCATGACATCCGCCGAGAGGGAGTTCCAGGACACGCTGAAGCGCCAGTCTAAGACGCTCGAGGACGCCGTCAAGGAGTATAGGAGGCGCTACGGCATCCCGCCGCCACCGCACTTCGACAAGTGGTTCGAGTTCGCAAAGGCGAATGGCGTGCAGCTCATCGATGAGTTCGACATGATAAACGAGATGCTCACGCCATTCTGGGGCCTGAAGCCGTCGACGATACGGGAGCGCGCCAGAGAGGCGCTGGGCTTCGACAACAATCTGATCGGCCTCCTGATCCGAGACCACAAGATATCGCACATCCAAGGCGGACAGGACTGGCAGCGCGAGGCGACCTCAGGTATGATTGAGAAATTCATACAGTACCTGCCCAGCATGGACATCGCCTTCAATATCCATGACGAGCCGCGCGTCGTGGTCCCCCACGAGGACCTGGCCCGCCTCGTTACTCGCGCCAAGGACGTCAACATGCCCAAGGCGAATGCGGCCGTGAACCCCGAGAACACATTCACGAAGCGCGCGGGCGACCTTAGCGACGGAAATATCATTGTGGAGTACAAGCAGACTCGCTTCAACGTCTTCGCCCACCAGCCGACATGGACGCATTCCCGCATGTCCTGCCCGCCAGACACCCCCTCTCGCGGCCTCGAGGAGGACGAGCTCTCGGATGACCGAAGCAAGTACGGCGTCAGCGAGCTCGGTTTCGTCTATAATGCCACCGCCATGTCCGATATCTGTCTCTCGCCCTCCCTCAGCTCGACCTACGGCTTCTTCGACCGCCCCAACGCATACAACGTCGTTCACGATCTCTTCCCCATCTTCTCCCAGTCCAAGATCTCGTCTTACAACGACATCCTCTACCCCTCGCCATGGTACTGGTACAAAAAGGTCGCCTACGACGAGTCCAAGGACATGTCCTGGGAGCAGAAGCAGGATCGTCTGTACTGGCGCGGCTCCACGACGGGCGGCTTCTCGCGCAACGGCGGCTGGCGCCGCCAGCACCGCCAGCACTTTGTACAAAAGGTCAATGCTGCCGACCAGGCAAAGATCTACACCAACCGCGGCGACGAGAAGAGCCCCAAGTGGGAGGTTAAGGAGGTTCCCCGCGGCGACTACCGCGACATCATTGACGTCTACTTCTCGCATGTCGGGCAGTGCGATCCGGGTGACTGCGATGCGCAAAAGGAGTTTTTCAAGGTCCAGGGCCACGCCGAGCAGCAGGACGCCTGGAAGTACAAGTACCTCCTCGACATGGACGGCAACGCCTTCTCGGGCCGCTTCTACGCCTTCCTGCAGTCGCGCTCTCTCGTCTTCAAGCTCGCCATCTTCCGCGAGTGGCACTTTGAGTGGCTCCGCCCCTGGGCGCACTACGTGCCCCTGAGCCTGCAGGGCGACGACTGGCTCGAGGCCGTGCGCTTCTTCGGCGACGGCGCGCTGGGCCGCAACGAGGCGGAGCGCATGGCCATCAGCAGCCGCGAGTGGGCGAACAAGGTGCTTCGTAAGGAGGACATGGAAGTCTGGTTTTTCCGCCTCCTCTTGGAGTGAGTAGCCTCCTCACCGGTCTTTCGTCACTGTGAAACCGTAATACTGACCTTTTCCGCAGATACGGCCGCGTCATCGACGACAAGAGAGACACCATTGGCTTCTCCGTCGGAGCCGTCCCGCCACCGCCGGCGTAGTCGCCGGAGAGTTTGCTTTGCTAGCGACGAGTTTCCAAACCGCCGTCGTGGTTTCAAACGTGGTAATGAGACATTTGTGTATTTACTCCCAAAGCAATAGGGAAAAGGGAGATAAAATAGGGAGTCATCTTTTCTTTTCTGTTACACTACACGAATCGGGATCGGACGGGTCAGGGTATCAGGGGCTGCGTTGTCTGCCTCTTGAAGGAAAACTGTTCCTTACACCATGCTAAAGGGGAGGGGGGATTCTTGGCAGCCATGGTTTCGTTTGTCCGTTACGGAAGAGAAGTTTGTATGATGTGGGCGGGAAAGACTCGATGAGTTGGTGGGCAAAGGAACCGCCGCCATGTCTCCCGCGTTTGCGGTATAGAAGTTACATACACCTAATCGACATCATGACCTGATTTGTCGGCTCCAAGAGGGGGCGCCATGTTTCTAGAAATCCGTGTCTTAGGCTGTTGATGAGACCGGTAGGAAGCGTTCCCGTATATAGCCACCTTCCACGCGGATGTGATGCACTCGAGAATCTCAAGCAGAGTCTCACAATATCTCACACTCTGTTGCTGCATGTCACGCTGGTCCTCGTCAGATCGGTCGGCAGCAGCGTAAACCAGCACGCTCCATTTTTGTGATTATTTCAACTCCTCTGGGTGCTCCTTGCTGTCTCTCGATGGCCACTCATCACGACCGCCTTTTGATCACACCCAAACGCCAAATGGTCTGCGGGAAAAGAAGAACTGATGTTACAACACCCTATTGAGCTGTGCGGAAATTGCTTTTGATGCTGCCATGAAACCCCCTTCCCAGCAACGCGCTATGTCATGGTATGAATTGTATTTCCTCGCTTCCTCTCCAACCTCTTAGTCTTCATCCTCATCTCCGTCGGCATCGCCATCGGCATCCCGGTCCGAGGGCGTTCCAGGGGCAGCGCCCTCAACGGGAGGGAAGGGGTCCTGGACCTCCTCTACATAGCCTATCGGCTTCTCTTTGTACCGCCTCATGTTCTCACGAGGTGCTCCCTTGGGGTCAGTGATGGAAACCTCCACTTCATTGACAACCTGCGATTCATCGTCCACTTGGCTCAGCGTGCGCGCAATGTTCTTGGCACGCTGGGGACGGATGGTAGTACGCTGGATAACCGGGTAGTAGTACGCGGCCTTCTGCTTGCTGCCCGAGGGCTCGTCGTTGAAAGCGAGGATGACCTCTTCGCTGTACTTGGAGTTGTGGTCCAACTCCGTCTCCTTGGTCGTCTCATACGCACGGAGACGGGAGAACTGGAAGCAGCCGTTGGAACCACTCTGGTGTGTGTAGAGCGAGTCGTCGTCGTGATCGGGGTTCTCCGGGTCGAACTTAGTCCGGAAGTTGTCGCCCGTGGTCTGGGTCTTGGGAAGGAAGAAGCTGTAGTCCATCAGGTTGGCGGGTTTGGGGTTGCGAGCGGGGTCGCGCTCGTGAGCTTCGACAGCAGCCTGGAAGGCCTCGTTCTCCTCGGGGCTCCTGTCGAGAGGACGCAGCAGACCACTGAGCAGGCGGCGATCGTACTTGTTGGAGCTGGCCACGGGGTTCGTAAGGAGCTTGACAGTGACGTACGCGCCTGAGTCGGGGAATGCGTCGTGGTCGGGTAGCAGAGGGTACGAGGAAGTGAGATGGACGTTGGGCTTGCTGGGATGGCGATGGCGGCTTGGGTTGCTGAGGAAGCGCTCGGCACTCTCGAAGCTCTTCTCGATCTTGCGCCTGATGGCTGCAGGCGAGTCTTTGTCCGGCTCGGGAGAGCGGCGCTTCTCCGTGCGCTTGATCTTAGGGTTGATGAAAGCTCCCGCGGCGACGCCCGCTTTCCTGGGGGCCACGGAGGAGATGTATTCGGTTCTTCGCAGGAAGGAGACTGATGCGTCGGCGTTGCTCTTGGCTCGGCCCAGGGTAGAGAGCGGCCGGAGAAGAGCCCTGTCGTGTGGGTGGACGGCAGGCGGGTGCGAAGATGCCTGGATAGCTGGGAGAATGTTAATTGCTGGTTCTTGATCATGATGCAACCGCGCTTACAGCTCTCGTCTCCGTCGAAGATGCCTGGCATGCCTACTAGGTCCAAGGGCATGCCGAGCTCCGCATCGACCTCAATATTCAAGGGTTGCTCTCTCGCCAGACGCGACGCGAAGCCAGGCGTTGTGTACTGGCCGCTAGCCAGGCCGGTGTTCGGGATGTCGAGCAGCTTGGGCGGGTTGGGGGGAGGCGGGAGGGCGTTGGAGTAGCGGATCCTGGCGATGAAATCCTGATGGATCATGCGCTCGCCGCCGCGAGGCGCCGAGGACGACATCGTGTATATATCAATGCGTTCGTAAGATGCCGCAATCGCAAAGTCGTGGGTCGGGTTGCAGGAGGACGAGGGGGGCTTCGACAATTGAGGGCGGAGAGCTGTGGTCGCGGTCGCGTTGGCGAGGACGGTGCAATTGGCCCGGAAAAGTTCCACGAGGCTGACAGTTCGGGGTAGTTGCGCCAGCGCCCGGACCGTGAGCCTTATCAGCTTTATCGGACGAAGCCAACAGCACCACCTGCCCCTAGCTGTCAAGCTTGGCTTCTTTCCGAGAGTGAAATGCTTGGAGCGGTGAATGAATGAAGAATTGTAGACAACACTTGTCTTCTCTATTACAATACGTAGTATGAGATGAATGATTTTCAAAGCAAAAACGTCACTCATCAACGGGGCAATTGCTCCCGACCGTGCAGGAGCGACCACCTGATGCGCCCCGTGTAGTTCGCCGTCGCAACCATCCATGCACTCATACCCACGCGCCATTTCCATCTATACATACAGTCCCCTCCCATCGTCACAATCCAGACTTCGTCAAAATGTGTATTTCGTCCTCACATGCTGTCTAATTTTTCTGCGTGCCTAGACTTACACACTTGCCCTCGCCTTCACAGGGGCGTGACAACGACCTGCCTCGTAAAACCCGCTTGATTCCATCGCGTCGTTAAGTTGCGTGCTCCCCTAGGAGCTGTTCTTGGCGTAGTTCTTCTTGCCAAAAGTAAAGGGGACGTAGCGGTACTTGATCATGTGCTGGATCTGCTTGCGCACTGGAATTGGGTGTCAGCTTGCGCCAAGAAAGCCGAAGCAGGAAGGACGGGGGTTTACGTACTCGTCAGGAAGAAGAGGATGAACCAGTACATGACCAGGACGGGCCAGAAGACGGGGACATTGAAGATTTCCCACCAACTGCAGAAGAAGGCGATGAGGATGGCGCGGGTGGCCCAGTACCAGAACTTGAACTCGGGGAGGCGGCGGATGAAGGGGCGGAACTCCTCGTCCTGCTTGGTGGGGAGAATGCCAACACCGCCGTCCTCCATCTCATTGTCCATCGCCTCGTTGGAGGGATCAAACTTGGGCTGCAAGAAGGCCAGGAATAGGTTGAGCAGGTAGATGCCGAGCGCGTATGCGACGATGTACCAGCCTTGCGCTACGAAGATGCGGGCGAAGAAGACGAGCAGGAAGGCTCCGGTGCTGATCCATCTGTAGAGCACGTAGGGCGTGGACTGATCGAGGAGCGCCTGGTATTGCTGCGACGGATTAGCATGAGCGGGTTCCAGCATGGCAGACGTTGGGGCAGCCGTACTCTTTGCAGCTTCGAGGTGTGTGCTGTGACCGAGGAGAAGGCAGTCTGTTCTGGCTCGACGGAGTCCATCTTGGGCGATGTTTGCGCGGACGAAACTCTGCGTGCGGTATCGTGCAAGGAGCTGATTTCAGGATACGGACGTGGGCTGAAACGATTATCGACCCGTAGGAAAGAGTGCAAAGCGGAAATGAGGGATGCTGTAGAAAGAGGCCGCCGCTGTCGCGATCTGTCCGGACGAATTTTTGGGTTGACGGGATCTCTAGAAATGGGTTCAGCCACGTAAGGCTTGGTACAACCTGTCCCTTCTTTCCTTTCAGGTGGCAGCAGCGCCGCGTCCCGTCCGTCTGCTGTTTTGCCCGAGTCTTATCCGGCCACCCCAGGGATTAGATTGCGCTGCCCAGTGATTGGATCCCCTGAAAGGCCCCAGAGGGATCCCCTGTGGCGCAGCTCCCAGACTCCAACTGAGGTGAACCTTGGAACCAGCGACCCAGACGGCGTAAGCTCGAACGTGGTGGGGCCCCATCTGCGAAAACGGGTCTTGTTAGAGATCCTGTGGCTCCAGGAGCAATGAAGACCGTCGAGCCTGTGACGCGGGGGAAGCAGCCACAGTGCGCAGCGCCCGACCGACTGTATCCTCGGCATTCCATTCCAGAGCCGATGCTTTCCAGCTATCATCCCTAGAGCTTGGATAAGCTGGAGCTTGACATTGACCTGTCTGTTACATCACAGCTCATCTTTTGATCTTCGAGAGCAGTTCACAACCAGGATACTCTACCAATTGAAGCAATCCTCTGTTGACCTAGTTTGCAATTCAATTAACCCCCTGTGATCATTGCATTATCTCCTGTACTCTTTCTCCAAGCCACGACCAGAGCTTCGTCGTCGTCATGAACTCTTTCAGATACCTTCGGCCCGTCGCCTCACGATTGCAGGCCCCGACGCTGCCCAGGCTTGCGCGGGGATTTGCCAGCAAGTCGTATGAATACATCCAAGTCTCTCAGCCGAAGCCCGGTGTTGGACAAGGTGATTGCGCTCATAGCTACACTCACCACTTCTTCATGACGCTGACCGTGATCCACTTTAGTGACGTTGAACCGCCCCAAGGCGTTGAACGCCCTCTGCACTCCTCTCATTCACGAGCTCAACGATGCGCTGAGAGCATTTAACGAGTCCGACGACACCTCCGTCATCATCCTCACCGGTTCTCAGAAGGCCTTCGCCGCTGGTGCCGACATCAAGGAGATGGCACCTCTTACCTTTTCCGAGGCCTACACCAAGTCCTTTATCGAGTCTTGGTCTCTCCTCACCACTCAGATTAAGAAGCCCATCATCGCTGCTGTCTCTGGCCACGCCCTCGGTGGAGGCTGCGAGCTGTCGATGATGTGCGACATCCTCTATTGTACCGAGACGGCCAACTTTGGCCAGCCCGAAATCAAGCTCGGCACCATCCCCGGTGCTGGAGGCAGCCAGCGTTTGACCCGGGCCATCGGAAAGTCCAAGGCCATGGAGCTGATCTTGACGGGCAAGTCATTCACCGGAGCCGACGCCGAGAAGTGGGGCCTTGCGGCGAAGGCGTACCCCTCGTACGAGGCTCTCATGGAGGAGACGCTGAAGACGGCTGAGACGATTGCCGGGTACTCGAGGGTGGCCATCAACGCATGCAAGGAGGTTGTGAACAAGAGCCAGGATCTTCCCCTGCGAGACGGCGTCGAGTTCGAGCGAAGAGTGTTCCACAGCCTGTTTGGCAGCAACGACCAAAAGGTAGGCATGAAGGCATTTGCCGAGAAGAAGAAGGCAGAGTGGACTCACTCTTGAGGGTATTCTGGCCGAGAATGTAAAATGTATGCGAAGTGTCTGAGTCTGAAGAAGACATATAATGTTGTGCGACCAGTGTTCTAAGCGAATGGGTGTTTCCCTGGGGAAACCCGTCCACCAACCCAACGTGGACAAGACAATGCAAGAACACAGTCAGCCCGATGCCGAGTGTGCTTGGCCTTGCTCTCGTGCATGCGGTGAAGTGCAGGATGGGGGATGTCTATTTTGAGCATCTCTTGTAAAGCATGTGTGTCCGCCCATTTGGGGTGCATACCCGTTGAAGAGACTGTCTGTCTGGGCCTTGCTGTATTCCTGAAGGCCCGCCTCACATCCGAAGTAGTCCACATGCCTCGCTGAGAACATGCTTTCCGAGTCTGAAGATGTCCGATTTTGGTGGGCATTGGGCTCGTATTTCCAGGAGCTTGCAGGGGACTACCCGTCCCAAAAGACAGCGGAGGGGTTGCAGCGATCTCGGCTTATTAGCTCCGCGAGGAAGATGGGATGCTTATGCAGTAGGAGCTATGTACTTCAGAGCCTTCAGAGCAGGGGTTAGGGGGCCGGCGGTGGACGGGAACCAACGTGGGGTTGGGCTGTCGTCGCATCCATCCACCGCAGGGCGGCTTCTGACCAATTTTCCCCCCTTACACAAGTTTTCTGCATGCCTGTGAGCCTGTGAGAGTGCTCTGTTGCAGCGGCCACAGGCGCGCCCAGCCTCTGAGGCCCCGCCACCCAAGCCGCCTGACAGCCAGTCCTCATTCTTAATACGGACATGTCCCCCTCTCGCGACCGTCCGGCGCAACTCTTCCCATGACATTGCTTTCGTGCCCGGCATTCTTGGGATCGCGCGGAGCGACAGTTCCTGCATGGATTCCTCAAAGCCAGGACTCGACCTCGAGAGGGAGCTGACGTGCTCTGTGAGTTGCCCGCTCGTCTGATCCTTTGCCCGTAGCGTCGCCCTAGAAGAGGGGCAGTTTTTTTTTTTTTTTTGGCTTGGGGTAGAAGTTGTGTGATCATTATATGCTGACCGAATGTTTCCTCGCAGATCTGCACCGAGCTGCTCTATCAGCCTCTGACTCTCCTCGATTGCCTGCACACCTATTGCGGCGCATGCTTGAAGGACTGGTTCTCTTTCCAGGCAAACCAGGCCGAGAACTCGCCAAGTCCACCCGCACCAGGGACTAACATCTTCACCTGCCCGTCATGCCGTGCGCCGGTGCGCGATACAAGGCACAATGCCACCGTTGCAACTCTCCTCGGCATGCTGGTCGCGGCGAACCCCGACAGGAAAAGGTCTGAGACGGACGTGGAGGAGATGAGCAAGAAGTACAAACCAGGCGACCAAGTACTACCTGAGCTTAAACTCCTCGAGAGGACCCAAGAAGAGAGGCGCGCGGACGAGGAGGAGAGAAGGATGCTAGAAGATGTGCGGGAGCTGAGTCTCAGGGAAGCTGGTGTGGAATCTTCTCTAGCCCCGCGACATCGACGACGGAGGGAGGACAGCAGCTCTGCCGATGGCAGAATGCAACGAAGCCGAGATCACAGCCGGGACAGCCGCCACAGCAACAGGCATGAGGGCAGTCGAAGGCCCCGGGCCGACGAAACTCGATCCAGCGCAGACCAGCTGCAACCGGATGCGAGATCCAGCGATCACAGGAGACGGCGGGGGAGTGAGTCAAGGCACCGTTCCGAGGAGTCATCCGACACGAGGCGCCGACAAGTCGAGCACCAGTCATCGCTGAGATCTCTGATAAGCTCAGGCGATCTGAGTGAACGCGACATCGAGAGGGAGATTGAGGACTTTGCCAGGCAAATCCAGGAGGAGGGGCTGTTGGACGGGCTGGATCTTGACAATATTGACTTGAGCCGGAACGACGAGCTGAGCCGCAAGATCACAGAGGCCTACCGAAGAAGGCAAAGGGAACGCACGAGGGCCGAGGCAGCGAGGAGGAACAATGCGACCGGGCAATCCCGGTCCTCTCCTGACAGAGTGCAGGAGATTCGGTCCAGTGCATCGGAAAACAGCAGGCCAACCAGCAGACAGCGGCCGCATTCCAGGTCGACCAGCGCGAGTGGCTTCCCCGAGGATCGCAGTCGGCCGCCACTTTCGCAAAGCGCCCTGCATCTCGAGGTTCGACCGGAGGAGAGGCGGAGAAGGAGGCGGACCTCAAGCGGTGGCCGTAGTGCGACGACACCACTCCCAGCAACGCAGTCCGAAACTCGGGTGGCAACCCGCTCGCAGACCGACTTATCGACACGAACACAGTTTGGCGAGGCATCTGCTCATAGAACCGCCTTTACCGAAGCTAGAAGCTCCAGTACGCCCTCGGTGCCTACTACGACGCAGTCTCCAACTACCACTTCGCCAACGCCACGAGACCTCACCTTCGCCAACCGGGTGACCAGTGCGTCAGCGCTGGTGTCTGCCAACTTTGCTCCATCCCCTCCCATAGAACCTCTATCGCCTCGCATGCAGCGATCCCACCGGCCAGCGGACCTCTCCATCATCAGTCAGGCCACATCAGGACCGGTCGGGCTGGGCCTCGGCATCGGCAGTCCGACTACCCCTGGCCACCAGAGGACACGATCGCAGCTCTACCCTGAACCTTCCATTACGTGCGCTCGGTGCGCGAAGCAGCACATCGAGTACGAGCTACACTACAACTGCAGTATCTGCGCCAGCGGCAACTGGAACATTTGCCTTGATTGCTACAGGTCAGGAAAGGGTTGTCTGCATTGGTTCGGCTTTGGGTACGGCGCCTGGGCCAAATGGGAAAAGGCTCGACACGCCGCACAGGAGGATATTCCGAGGCCTCATATGCTGACGGCAAACCGGTACCTCCAGCCCAAGATCATTCCTGGCGGAGCGGAGGGCAGACGGACGCTTACGACCGATGACCCGGTCAAGAGGCTGGAAAGCGGTAACTTCTGTGCGCGATGTCTGAGTTGGGCCAACGAGTGCTTCTGGCGCTGCGACATTTGCAACTTTGGCGACTGGGGCTTCTGCAACAACTGCGTGAACCAGGGGCGGTCGTGCACCCATCCTCTCCTGCCCCTGACCTACCAGCCTCAACCGTCGCACACACCACCTGCGAGTCCCAGATCGCCTCGGCCGCCTCAATCCGCTGCGGTTCTGACGGGACCCAACGTCCACAGCATCGGCCCGTTCAAGCCGCTGACCTTCACAACCCGCTGCGACGTCTGCCAGGACCCCATTCCTCCCAGTCATAGCCGATATCACTGCTTCACCTGCACTAGCTCTATCGAGCCGGATACCCAGCCGGGCGACTACGACATCTGCACAAACTGCTACGCCAACCTCGAGGCACGCGACCAGATCAGTCCTGAAAATGGACATGTGGGTTGGCGCCGGTGTCTCAATGGGCATCGGATGATCGTGGTCGGCTTCCGCGACGGGCCCGGCGGGCAGCTACGGCACATCCTGTCTGATCTCGTAGGCGGGCGCAACCTGCGAATAACGCCAGCGGAGGGCAGCGCCGAACAGGCGCCGCAAAAGTGGTGGTGGTACGAAGGGGGGCAGAAGCGTGAACGCTTCGTTACTAGGGACGTCGCGGCCGATGCGCCGACGGGCGAGGGCCTCACGCAGGGGTTCCCGCCCGACGGCGGCGGCGGAATGCGTGCGAGTGCCACGTGGGCTTGGTACCCCAAGGCTGAGGATGAGCTGTTGTTCCCCAAGGGAGCGGAGATTAGGGAGATTGAGGATGTTAATGGGGACTGGTTCTTTGGGGTATACATGGGCGCCAAGGGACTGTTTCCGTCGCCGTACGTGAGACGGCTGGACGATCATGCATAAGGAGATACAGCGTAATGTCATGAAGCGATGAAGAGCGTTTTTGGTAATAGGGTCCATGACCATGATGAATGAAACGGCGATGGGGGCGAAAAGCGGCGTATGGTCCCACTGGACGATTTGAATACTTTCTCTAGTTACAGGCGAATGGGCATCGATTGACCAGTCAAGAATGACCATGGACACTGGAACGAGACTCGAAATCTCGTTAGTCTCACACTGCGCCGTCGGATCATTTTTCATGTGCTCGATGATCGGTAGCCGTACGACTGGACTCAACCTTCGGCACGGCCGTCGCAACGGCTCCCGACTCCCGGCCCCGCTCCGTCATCAACAACGAGCAACCCCACATTCGGCCGCTAGCGGCTCTGACGTGATTATTTGGTGACGAACTGAACCCAATTGAAGAATCCACCCCACTACGGACGGCCCACTTCCAGCTGGCTGGGGGTCTCACGGTCCTTTGGCCAGCTTAGAAAGCCGAATGCCGGAGTCTGCTTCTTAAACGCCTGCGTCGTGATCCCTCCCGCCAACTCGATCCCCTCCGACCCCAATCCCGCAACACACGCCGCAGCAGACTACGGATTGACTTTTCAAAGGGACCCTCCGAGTAGCAGAAGCCCAGCAAACATGAACCGCCTCGGCGTGCGTCGCTTCGCGACGACGGCCGCCCGCGCCATCGACCCGCCAAGCGCATACTCTCTCAACCTCTCCCGCGCGCAGGGCGTCGTCAAGGGCCTCACCGGCGGTACGTCTCCCTCCGCCTTTCTCTGCCCTTGTCTCTCTACAAGGCAAGCCCCATTAATGAGCCCGTCGACTGACCATTTTCTCGTCTCTCAGCGATCGGCAACACGCCCCTCATCCGCCTCAACCGCCTCTCGGCCGAAACGGGTTGCGAAGTCCTCGGCAAGGCAGAGTTCATGAACCCGGGCGGCTCCGTCAAGGACCGCGCGGCGCTCTACGTCGTCAAGGACGCCGAGGAGCGCGGGCTCCTCAAGCCCGGCGGCACCGTCGTCGAGGGCACGGCCGGCAACACGGGCATCGGCCTCGCGCACGTGTGCCGCTCCAAGGGCTACAAGCTCGTCATCTACATGCCCAACACGCAGTCCCAGGGCAAGATCGACCTCCTGAGGCTGCTGGGCGCCGAGGTCTACCCCGTCCCCGCCGTCGCCTTCGAGAACCCCGAGAACTACAACCACCAGGCGAAACGCCACGCGGAACGGCTCGACAACGCCGTCTGGACGAACCAGTTCGACAACACGGCCAACCGCCGCGCGCACATTGAGACCACGGGCCCCGAGATCTGGGAGCAGACCCAGGGCAAGGTCGACGCCTTCACCTGCGCCACGGGCACGGCGGGCACGCTGGCCGGCATCACGCGGTACCTCAAGGACGTCAGCGGCGGGCGCGTAAAGTCCTTCCTTGCCGACCCGCCCGGCAGCGTGCTGCACTCGTACGTCTCGTCGGGTGGCAAGCTCGTCGAGCGCACGGGGTCCAGCATCACCGAGGGCATCGGCCAGGGCCGCATCACGGACAACCTGAAGCCCGACATTGGCCTCGTTGATGGCTCGCTGACCATCGCCGACGAGAAGAGCATCGAGATGGTGTACCGGTGCCTCGACGAGGAGGGGCTGTACCTGGGCGCCAGCTCGGCGCTCAACGTCGTCGCCGCCAAGGAGGTGGCGGAGAAGCTCGGCAAGGGCAACACCGTCGTCACCATTCTGTGCGACGGCGCGTACCGCTACGCCGACAGGCTGTTCTCACGCAAGTGGCTCAGCGAGAAGAAGCTCCTGGGCGCGATACCCAAGCATTTGGAAAAGTACATTGTCCTGCCATAGGGTGGATGCGTTGTTGATCTGGTGTGTCTTGATGCTTGTATACATAGATAATCTTACATATCAGCTGTACATAGCCCCTCTCTGGAGCCCCTCTGATTCCCCTCCCCTCCTCTCTCCTCCCGCTGTCTTACATTATCCCTCGCCTTCCCGGCCTGCTACCTCGACATCTATGAGGAGCCAAACAGGGCGTTGTACGTCTTGAGACCGCGCTCGGCAGGGTAGTCCTGCTTCTCCACCACTTCCTTGATCTCGGTGCCCAACGAGCCGGCGATCGCGTGCAACCTGTCGGCCAGCGGCTTCTCCACCACGCGCGCGGCCATGAACAGGCCGTGAAGGATCGGGCTCGCGTACGAGAGGTACTGCGTCCGGCTGTGCGCCAGGTACGCCACGCCGTCCACACGGTCGGCGTACGCCTCCTGCGGGTGCAGCTGCAACAGGCCCTTGCCGGCGGGCCACCCGTCGGCGACCTGCTTGGCGTACCGCGCGACCTTGCCGTCAAGGTCCTTGCCGTCGTTGTGCTTGACGGCCAGCACCGCCGAGAGGTGCAGCGCCGCGCCCAGGATCTGCGGGTCCTTGAACAGCGGGAACCGGCCTTTGCCGCGCTTGGCGACCTTGCGGCCGTCGGGCGCGTGGTTGGCGTCCTCGAGCATCTCGAGCACCATCTCGCTCCACCGCAGCGCTTGCTCAGTCTTCTCCTTGTCCCAGTCGCTCTCCACGGCGCGCATCTGCACAAAGTGCAGCACCTCGTTGACCTTTTCCGAGTTGTCAAGCCGCAGGCCCGTCTTGCGCACCTGCCGCGCGGCGTCGATAATGGTGTAGATCTGGCCGCGCGCGCCGGCGATGCGGATCATCTTTGCGAAATCCGTCTGGCTGTAGTGGCGGCCGGCGTTGCGCATGCCCGAGAGCAGGCGGGCAAAGTTGTTCCAGTCCTGGGGCGTCTGCATCGCGCGGAGGGCCTTCCAGGTGACCTCGCGGGACGGGGGTAGGGCCTCCTCGTTGATGTGAGAGAACCGGTGCTCGAGGCCGTCGATCTCGAGGTAGACGGGGTCGTTCTTGAGGCGGTGCTTGAGCTTCTCGGAGAAGACGCGCTTGCGCTGGTGGATGGGGAGGTAGTAGGGGAGGATGATGTTGGACTGGATCTCTTCGAGGATCGGTGCGAGACCGGGCGTCGTAGTCTTGTCGAAGACGACTTGGGGGTCTAAAGTCGGGTCAGCCTCTTTTCTCTGTTTTCCTGGACTTCGATATATCACGAGACGTACTTTGACGGGAGGGTGTCTGGCTGAAGCTCCGTTGCTGCTGGGCCATGCACGCCTGCTGCTCCCACACAGACGCCTTGGCACCCCTCAGGGCCCTACCCATTAATATCCTCGACATGGTTGCGGTCGTGTTGTATGTGCTCGTCGAGTAGTTGGAATTTTCCTCGACCGTCGTCGTCGGCAGCAATCGGCAGAGGAGGGCGGGAGCTATTCGGGAACGACCTGCAGGGTGCCCTCCCAAAATTTTGGATCGCACCCTCGCCCGGGCCGCGGCTCCGCATCATTGATGCACCGAGCCAATCACAGCGCGCAATTCGTACCTCGAACTTCGACTTTTCGACCTTGACGCCTGCGAAGCTCTCTGCCTTTTCTGGTCGCCCGACGACAAGATCGCAGCAGCCGTCCGTCCCTCGACCACGCAACCAAGATGAACGCCACCTGTCTCCGGCGGCCGATCGGCTGCCTCAAGACGGTCCTCCGCCAGACGCGGCACCAGAGGTTTCTCACCCGTTCCATGGCCACCACGCCTGCCACCGAGCCCCCGGCATCAACACCCTCACCCTCGACACCCTCAACACCCTCCGTCAAGCCCTCCTACTGTAAGCTCCCACACGTTCCAACGCATCTCTCCTCGGCCCGGAGCTAACCACAGCCAATGCAGTCGGGCCCCGCGACAAGCCCACCTTCGCAGTCTACCCACCACCGCCCTCGATCCGCCAAACGCACAAGAACCCCCTGCCCGCCCTCGACGCCCAGCAGCGCAGCACCCTCGACCCCACGGGCGCGCGCACGCGGCTCTTCGACCCGGCGCGTCCGGACGCCGCAAAGGTCGGCGACGTGCTCATGGTCACGACAAAGTCGGGCGAGCCCTTCTCGGGCGTGTGCATGTCGATCCGCCGCCGCGGCGTCGACACGGCCATCCTGCTGCGCGGCCAGCTCATGAAGGTCGGCGTCGAGATGTGGTACAAAATCTACTCACCCACCGTCATCGGCATCGACATTGTCTGGCGCCGGCCCAAGCGCGCGCGCCGCGCGCGCCTGACGTACCTGCGCAAGCCCAAGCACGACATGGGCAGCGTCGACCACCTCGTCTTTGCTTGGAAGAAGGAGAGGTACGGCATGCGCAACAAGGGCAGGCAGCTCGGTACGAGGTTTTAGGGAGTAAGGAGGCAAGAGGCTTTCTTGAGTCAAAAGGGGCTTGGGATGGAGATGTTGTCACTTGGGGTGAAAGGGGTTGTTATATCGAGACGTTGTACGATTAGAAGACGGGCGAGTTGTACAGCATTGGCCTTGTAAAGTCTTGTACATGAACAAAAATATCTCTCACGATCGGGTTTGCTCATCTTGCGGCGGTGTGGCACTTCAGCAGTGTGAATGCGTCGTGTCAGATTCAGGGGTTCGACCAACACACTGCTAGTTCCACCAGGCTTTTCTTCTTCTTTTTTCCAATTGGGGTGACAGAGGACAGAAGGGCTAGCCGCTTACAGTCCATTAGAGCTGATTTCGCAAAGCGAAGGTTCGTCATTCGTCATAAGCGTACAATATCCTAAGAATGTACAGGAAGCGCAACGCCAATGTGAAAAGTATGTCTGTAGCCTGAGCCATCTAAGTCCGTCCTGGTTTTATAGAAACGATTGACCGCCGCACCAAAAAAAAAACAATGTTTGCGATCCACTAACTCCGATTTCAAAAACCACCTTCGAAACTCCGTGCAATGTATATTTCTCCTCATTCCTCCTGGATAGACCGTTTCGCGGCCGTCCATTGCGGCAGCTTCTAGCGTGCCGGCGTGGTAAGGACTCGCCGAGGAGGCGCCGCTGCCTCGGTGTCAGTGGACGTGGTATCATCGTCCGCAGGCTCCGTGTTCCGCCGCCTCATGTTTTCGCCCATGGGAGGACGCTCATCAGTGCCAAACGATCTGCTGCGTCTAGATAGATTTGTAAGGCTGTCCTCGTGAGGGATCATGGGCCCTGGGTGTAAGAACTGGGTGATGATGTTGCCCTGGCCCCTGTTCGTGCTCATTCTCCTCGATCGCAGGTTAGACCTGGTGGCGCTGAGCGCAGTTCCGGTCGATGCTGCAGTAGCTGACCGGACCAGAACCGGGTGCGCCTCTTCGGCCTCCTTTTCGAACCGGGATTCGCTAGGTAGGAGAACAGCGCGATCGAGACCATACGGCAGGCCACGGTGGCGTCCACGAATTTGCATCGCAATGATGATGAGCTTGCCTCCCGTACTGAACTGCGAGCAGAGGGACGCGTTGACGTTGGGGTAGCCCAAGCTTAATCCTACCGTACCGTACGCACTCACAATCTCGAAGAGGACAGAGTAGACGTCAAAGTCCTTGTTCTGGATCCGGTGCCCTTCCGTGATGGCCAAGATGAAGAGGCCCAGGAACACATACCACAGATCAAAAGACAGCTGACGCCGCAAATGGGTTCCGACATAAGACCAGGCGCTGTTCTCGTTGGTGCCCTCCATGTCTTCGTCGGGACTGTGGTATACACCGAGAGATTTCTCTTCATACACGTTGGTGCGACGAATCGAGATGGCGATAGGGAAGACTGAAATGTACATCATGATCATGTACGAAACCTGCACAGCGGGATGCAGCAGCGAAATGTTTACAACCGTGAAACCCGCGGTCCTGGTGGACGCGGCCTGGAATATACCATCCACAATGCGGACGTGCACGGGCAGATGGCTCACAGCATTGTCGTTCAGCTAGGCATGATATTAGCATAGGTCAACCCCAGTCTGTGCAGGCAACTTACATCTAGCAAGACAAAGAACAGCAAGTCAAGCACGTTCAAACCGATGAGGATGATGAAGAGCCACCAGGTTGCACCTGCTGGGAACAACAGAGTAAAGCATCGACGGGGATGATCCAATAAGAAGCGCAACTCCTCCCACAGTCCCGTACGCTTTGGTACAATCTTGGACAAGATCCAGATGATGACGCGAAGCATGATGGGGAAGCCAGTGTTGCCGATGATGATCAAGAAAGACATGATCAACAGGATAAAGGATGCGTCGTTGAACGAGTTCATGCTGTCAGGCGTCAGGGTGAGACCCAGGTCGTTGAAGGCCGAGTTCGCCGTGAAGATACCCCACCAGGCCTTGCTGACGCCGGACGACTCGATGAGGCTGGCGTATTTGGCATTGGAGCTGGTGTAGATCCACGGGAGGGTACAGGTGATGGCGAAGATTGAGAACCCCCAGAAGTAGCACAGCAGGATGATAGCGAGTGTTCTCAATGACCGGTATTCGATGCCTCCCAGCTCCTCTCGCTGCTCCAGCGTCAGACCAGGGAAGGCAGAGTTGCGACCCATCGTAGGTGTGAAACTCAGGTATGGCATGTCCTCGACTTTTTCGCGGGTCAATGCAGTCTTGATGGTGTCAAAGGTACGACTTCTAACCTTCGCGAGAGGGTTTGGAGAGGTACCGTCGTCATGGTGAGTTGTCTTATCACCCTTCTGGAAGGCCCTTGGCTTGCGCAGCGAGAAGGGAAAGATGGTTCTACCAATCACCTCAGCCTCGTCCACGATCTCGTCCTTGACCGTTCTCTGGGGCTCCTTGGGTCTTTCGGGTTCTTCGATTTTGATCGTGGGTCGGCGGGCGGCATTGTTGCCTATACCATCCGGCATGTCGTTCGTTCCGCTAGTCGCAACGTGGATATGCGGGATGGTGCCTTCTCTTTCGTCTTCGGGCTCTGGCGCAGCGTTGTCTTCTACTCGCTTTGGCTTCATGCCCCTCTCGGCATCTCTGGGGTTCGGAATGCGCAATGTCTCTTCAGGGCCATTCCGTTGGCGCTCGAGGATGGCCAAGTGGGCAGGAGAGTTGGGCGGCGGGAGTTTGACTTCGGGCTCCGTCCCGTCGCTTCGGAAGACATGCTGAGCAAAGGTAATTCGACCCTGCGATACATCCGTGCTATGGGCGTCGTCGTGATGCTCGGATGCTCTGTCTGGAGTTTGTTCTCCAGGAGACTGATGTGGCGGGGTGACGTGCGCGGGAACGAAGCCGTTGCTCCCCGGCGATAGGCGACCGTCCTCGTCCTCCTTCATGTCGAGCAGAATGCCATCGTTGGTCATTCTGGAGCGGTGGCCGTTGGTGTGCATGACCTTGATATTGCGCACGCTTAGACGGCCCCTCTCGGCCTGGCTCAACTCGTCCCTCGCCCGGGACTTGGACTTGGACATGGTATTTCTCCGCAAGCGGGCCTCGCGGACGACGCCCTGGAAGCGCTTTTCGAACCAGTACAATCGGAGGAAGACAACGGAAGAATGGATGGTGATGGGATTGGAGGTCATGGTAAAAAAGTAGAGGCATATTTGCTGGAAGGTGTTGAGCAGGTTGACATCAATGGTGTTGAGGCCGGCCTGGGTGTTGGCACCACTGGCAAAGAAGAGGGCGTCAATGTATGGCATCTGCCCTCCGGCAGTGGCATAGATGAGGATAGAGCCCAGTATAGTGAGGCCGCAAATCCAGAAGTCTGATGTCGGGGCGAGGCGCAGATTAGCGCTGTGCACAGAGTGGAATGCGACGGCAGTACTTGGGATGGTGACTTACAGTGAGCCGAGATGAAGTTGAAGTGCGGCTTCTTGGATATGAAGGAGGGCTTGGCTGCCCGTAGCTGGACGAGCAGCCAGCCGCGCGCGTCTTCGAGCATTTCTCTCAGGTCGCGACGGTGGTGATGGTGTTGAATGAGGTGAAATGGAGGAAATTCCCCTCCGGTTTAACGACAGACCGGTCGAGACATCGGCCTGAGGGGGTGATATGGTGTAAGAGGACAATGGCGCAGTAGGGTGAGCGAGTAGGGCGAATGGGCCAGGTCTTGGCACGCTGTGGCTGTGAAGCTTTCTGGTCTAACCTTCCTTGTGTAAGGATTGGATGACGGTTAAGCTGGAATTCATGACGATCAATTGGTACGGCGGGACTTGGACGGGATGGGAGCAGGAGCCGGGCGCAGTAAGCGTGACATCAGGCGCGGTCGCCTGTCTGTGTTGCAGGGTGCGGAGGTACTGTAAGGTAAAGTAAAGAAAAGAGGAAAGAAACAGGATGGGGAAAGAAGAGTCGAGGTGGGATCGGACGAGTCCCCAGCTGATGCTCCGTCTACCTCGAGGTAGCTTGTGAAAGCACAAGAGATGGAGCCCGACGCTGCAAGTGTCGCAGATGTGCAGATGTGCAGATGCCAATGCCGATGGCCAGGGACTGGATGCCCTGTGGCTCTTGGCTTCTGGCGGGAGAGACGACAGGAGCTGCCAACGAAGACAACGACAACAGCAACAGCAGCAACAACAACAATAACAACAAAACGAGGAGCGAGGACCGGAACTGGGGCTGGGAAGGACTCGAATTTTAGATGCGGGTGTGCGACGAGGCGAGGCGAGGCGAAACGGAAGGCGTCAGTCCAGTTTTTCCTCGCTGTTATTTTTTTTTAATTAGATAGGGAGAGGTGGAAAGCCCGTTCCATCGGCGTGCGGGCGTCTCGGGGCGGTTGTGTGGAGTGGCCACAGAGAGGCCCTGAACCACCCTGTCAGTCCGTCCTGCCCACTGGAGGCAATCCAGTCGCGGCGCATCCAGCAGCATCCAGCATCCACCGTGCTTGCAACCTGGAAGTTCCCGGTGCCTTCCCTACCGTGTGCCTGGGGGCCGACACAGGCTAAGCTTTGTCTGGCAATAGCTTCTGCTCCACTAACGATGGAACAGAAGAAGGACAGAAGGAGAGAAAGAAAAAAAAGGCACCCCTTGGGGGTACTCCGTACTCGCTGAGAACGGCTCTTCTGCCTCTCGCAAACAGAGAGCTTCGGCCTGGAGACGGAGAGACGATGGAGGAGTCGCGCCTCCCTTGACTGAATGGTCCAAGGTAGAGCACGAAGAGGCGTGGGGTCGGGAAGGAAGGAAGGAAGGAGGTGCTATGGTCCCTGAGAATCGAGATTTGAAAGGCCAGCACCTCATTCGATATTCGACGTTCGACGTGCCTATACACGCACGCGCCGCCCGCCTACATATACATGCATGTATGTGTAGTGTACATCACGTCGGACGGGCGCCGGGTGCCTACTAAGCACTTTACAGAACACCCCAGATGCAGACGCAGTCGGGTCACCTCATCCATCCCGCCCACATCAAATCACCTCACCTCACTGCGTACCGCGTACATGATCAAGATAGGCCACTTCACTCACTCACTCACTCCCACGCCAACGCGCCTCGAGAACTTGTCAGAATGATCGCCCGTCATATGCGCACATCATTCATGTGCTGCCATCATTATGCGACGACCAGCGAGTGGTGTGCGCCCACCCACGTCGGAAAACAAACCCTCGACGCTGGGGAAAATAGAATTCCCCATGGACGCAACATGGAAGTGCCATCCAGCACGACACGACGGTCGACTCCAGCTGTCGGACCCAAGGTGGCACTAGGCCCTTAGTTCGTTGTGCTAATGGCCCTCGAGGTGAGATTGGATGTAACTCGTGAGATCTGTTTCGCGGCGTGCCATTTCCAAGACACGCCAGAAATAATCCCCTAAACCCCCCCCCCAAACCAAGCTGGCGGAGTCACTGGTGCCAAGCAACTTTAATTCACGGGGGTGGGTCACCACCTGTCGTTGGCCTCTCATCCAAAACTGCTCACCCGCCCAAAGGAGAGCATCTGCGTCTCGAACAGGGGCACTAGGACCCGACCAACCTACCCTCCCTCCCATTGCAGTGCTACCAATCGTTTGGCTGAGGTTTATCCGTCCTTGCATGGCCGGATACGTCATTCTGTGCCAGCACATCTCACACACCCTTCCTCCTAGATCTCTTGGTCTGTTCTTGGAGGGTGCCGTGTGCCTGACCGACCATCCTGGCGGCCCCTTCGTTCTCATTGCCCACTAATGAGCTTCGTTGCCTCTGTCAGGTTCTCCCTCTCCTCCCGATATCAAGCAGGATACTGTCCGGGCAACGAGGGACGTAGGAAACGACAGCCAGGGGCTGGTGCTCCCAGACACATGAGGGTAAGAGATGGACTGCAGCAATATGTCGATCTGTAATGTGTATCTGGAAATATCCCAACTCGGTAAACTGCTGCAAAGACTGCGCATCGAAGTGACAGCAGCAGGGATGTCTCCAAGCTGGCGACGAGCTGGCTGGTGGATGGTTGGCGCGAGCGTTCACATGCCGTGTCGAGCAAGCCTCTAGCATGTTGAATGTCGCCCTGCCATCAGTGAGAAACTGGCTAATGCCCTGGACGCACGCAACATGACTCTCCAGAGGTCACAGTACCACGGTCGAATAATGCCTCTTGACCCCTATATATTGAAACAGCATGGACCTCCGCTTCCAACGGGACATCCCGGCCAACCGGACGCAGCGTCCAAACACGCGCTTCAGGCGAGCAGAGGCAAGCAGGAGTATTGAGCCGGACCAGAAAGGCATGTTGTCGCCCACGGAGTTGATATGGTTGCCCAAGCAGAGAGGTACCTTACCATCTGCAAGCCGCGGCGCTCTGTGGAACCCGCCAGCATCTCCAAGAGCAGATGCTTCATCCTGACGCCCATTGACCCTTTTTTTAGGCGCAACGCATCTCTTACAATGCCAACGGGGTCTTTTCAGGCTTCAGCACAGCCCGACCGGCGATCTCTAAATTTCTCCTTGGGCAAACCGTATCGGTAGCCACCGTCGAGGAGACGCCGACAAGAAACTGTCGGGAAAAGGCAGTGCACCTCCAACAACTTCCATGGCTGTTGTCCTCCCCTCGCCACCAATCACAACCCCGTCCCCGCGGACTGCCGGCAGCTGCTTCCCTCCGCTGTCGTCGTCTGGGTCCAGGCCTTAGCCACCACCCTGCACCGCGCTGGGATTGGAGAGATATCGCTAAACACAGCCAACGACGTTCCGTCACTTCTCAATCTCACCATATCAACTGACGGTGGCGCCTGTCTTTCTCTTGCCGACTCTTCACCGCCAGGCCCGTCGTCGACTCAACCGACGGGGGCACTTGCCGGCCCTGCCCTTCGCCCGTCTTTAGTGAACCCTGCATGCGAGTTGTGAGATGGCACCGCTACACCGACGCTCATCTCCAAACCCGGCCGCCAAGCCCGCTCTAGAGCACCCTGACCGCGCAGCACCTCCCGGATATGCCAGATAGCAAAAGCAAGCAACAACACAAGGTGAGAAGCACAACTGCAGCCACCCGAGTCAACCCGCTGTCCGCCAAGACCATCGTCTCTTGCCTCCGGGTTACTCATGGGTTATTCGTCCGTCCTGCCCACGTGAAGGGGAGACACCGCCGACTGGTAGGTTCTAGACGACGGCGACGACAACTACGACGACGACGACCCCGGTGACGCCAGACCCCCTGTCGTCCTCAACAAACAGCAGATAGGGGTAAGGCCTCGGCCACTCCAATCCGCCCTCCATACATCCGCAACCTGCTTGCCGTCTGTTGCCGCCAAAACTGGCAGCTCGAGCACAGATAGCAAATCATCCATAGCAGTCCAATCTTATTTTACGAGGCGGACGTTTGGCTTCGAGGAGAGCGGGGGCACGCATGGTTCATGTCTTCTTTTGCGTGTCGATATATCCTATACAGATCTACCCGATCTTCCCGCCGCGTCCAGTCTTGAGAGTCTTGATGATGTTGGTGTCTATACTACAACAAGCAAATTCGCCGTTTGCTTTCCCAAGCCGCAACCATGCCGAAAAAAACGCCTAGAGCCCTCATTATGCAATTTACCGCTTGGCCTTCTCCCTCTGGATCTTCTTGAAGAAGGCGCTGCTCTCTCCCTTGGCTTTCTTGAGCTTGACCCTCTTGTTTTGCTCCATGTAGGCCATGTCCTGCCCACCCGACAGGTCACCCAGAAGACCGGCTGTTCTCCGGGCAGCGGCCTTCTTCTTACCCCTGACCGGCGCGCGACCCATGGTACCGCTATGGAACAGGTCGTCAATGACTTCGTCCTCGCCACCAGCCTCATTTTCGATGAGGACCTTTTGTAGGAGCTCTCGTCTCTCGCTGGCTGCAGCATACGCAAGACCGGGTGTCTTTTCAATGTTCGCTAGCTGCGTGATGACCTTGAAGGCATATCCCTGGTCGACCAGGAAGGCCTGTCGCTTAGAGGAGTAGTACATCTCCTGAGTGTCCTTGGACACAAGGGAGTAGAAGAAGGCATTAAAGCCTTCGTCGTTTCTTCGCTTTGCTCGCAGAATACGACCGAGACGCTGAGCCTCTTGACGACGGGAACCGTAATGCGAGGAGATCTGAATGAGACAGGTGGCCTCCGGAAGATCCAGAGACGTGTCTCCGATCTTGGACAAGAAGAGCGTGTTGACTTGCGGGTTGTGTTGGAAGTTCTGAAGAATGTTCATTCGTTCTGCCTGTCCTGTGCCGCCGAAAATATAGGCTTTCTCCAGTTTCTCGGCATAAGTCTTCAACGCGTAGACGTTGTCGGAGAAGACAATGATCTTGTCTCCTCGTGACTCGTGGTAGTTGATGAGGTACTGCGCGGCCTGGAACTTGCGTGGGTTCATAATGTACAGCAAGGCCCGCTTCCTGGCAGATGCCTTCAGGTACTCGTCGTAAAACTCTGTAGTCATGGGACACCAGACCTCGGCGCACTGGACCTTTGCGATGTGGCCCTGCTCAGAAAGTTCCATCCAGTTGGCTTCGTACAGTTTCGGACCGATAAGGAAGTTCAAATCCGAGATCTTGTCGTCCTCACGTAGAAGCGTGGCAGTCAAGCCGAGCTTCGAGTGTGTCTTGATGGATGATGTTACCTTTCTGAAGATATTGGCAGGGACAACGTGCACTTCGTCAAGAAGCATCAAACCCCACTCTCGAGTCTGGAGGAAGTCCATCATCTTCTTCGCCTCGTGTGACCGCTCTCGGGTCTGTGTAACCATGGAGTATGTGGTCACAATGATACCGGTGTTGCCAGGGAAAATCCTGCCCTTGTTGTCTGAAGTGAAAGCCTCGATGTCCTCCGGCTTGATGTTGGACCATTTGAGGAATTCGTTTCGCCATTGCACCACCGACATCGAACTGGTGCAGAGTACGATAACGCCCTTCTTGACGGTGCAAGCTGCCGTGATGCCGACTAGCGTCTTTCCAGCACCACAAGGAAGGACGATGAGACCACTCTTGGCCCGACCGTTACCAAACATCTTGCTCAGACTCTTTTCTTGGTACGGCCGAATTAAGGTACCCGGACGCAGGTCGATCTCCAAATTGGGGTTGGCCTCGTCTCTTCTAAAATCATACTCCTCCAGCACTGGATACTCCAGCTCAAGGCATCGCTTCTGGACCGTCTCGACCGCCTCATCCGATATTTCAAAGGCGTGTGTGATTTCCTGGTCCTCGTCATCGTCGTCGTTTAGCGCCGCGTACACTTCGCCCTCCTTGACTTCACCCTCGCGGCCCTTGGCTTTCTGCTCTTCAGCCTGGCGGACACCAGCAGCATTCGCCGTGCCTGGAATGACCAAGGGACCCTGCTTCGGAGCAGCTGTTGTCGTGATCTCCTCGGTGCCGTGTACTCGGAGGGGTCCAATGATGGGATCCTTTAGCAGCTTTTGCAGAATGACAGGGTCCGTACTCTCGACAAAGTATTTGGTATTCTTGAGTACCAGCTTCACCTTGCCGAAACTCTGTGTGCAACCCTCGATAAACTTGCGAATACTGTCGGGCAAGGGCATCTTCAGGAACCGGTCGAGAGTGTTGATGATATCTTGGGGTGACAATCCCACCGAAACTGCAGCATACAAGCTGTGCGTCGTGAGCGCATATTCGTGAACGAAGGACGGTCGGGAGATTGGCTCGGCGATGGTGATGAGAAAGTCCTGCGCCTGCTCGGCAAGCGGGTTGAAACTTTCGAGGAAGATGCGTCCCTTGGCCGGGTCGATCCAGAGTGGGCGGTTCTGGTAATCGGGCTTCAGTGCGAGGAAGGAGAAATCGCGCTTCTTTTTGAAGAGTCCTGACATGGAATCGTTCGTCTTCGGCCTGTCGAGGTAGGCTTCGACTGAGAACTTGTCGACGTTCTTCTCGAGATTCTCATCTTCGGACTCGCTCACAGGGTCCACGACCGAGGATTCATTGTCACTAGCAATGCTCCTGGGAGTGGCTGCTCCTGGTGTTGACACAACGGAGCCCTTCCCTGCCTTGATGCTGCCGGTGACGGCCCCTTGAGCCTTCCGCTTCGGTGGCATCGTGGCAAGATCACGGGTTTGTTGGAGGTGAAGTTGGACGGCCGATAGTAATTTGGCGAGGCGAATGATGTAGTGCAGGCTGCAGGTCGTGCTAATGTACCCAGGATTCAGTAAGCAGCCAGCCAGCGCAGTCGGAGTTAAGGTTTCGCAGGCAAGTGGGCAGGGGCAGCAGTCTTAGTCACTGGCAGGCGGTTCTTAGCGCGGTCCACCACCAGGGATCCAGGTGAATTTCAGTGACTTCGCGGGGTGTGCAGCGGGAAGGAGGCACTGGAACAACAAATCACGACCCCGCCAAAATTTATCAGCAATCGCCGAATCTTCAATGAGGCACTGTAGAATGTTCTCTTCCTGATTCCGAGTTGACACCGAAAACGCGACCGCCTTGCACATTGTACCCTCCCTGAGTCACCAGAGCAACCCGACCTCATCTCTCGCGCTCTTGCTCCTATTCTTCCATCACTTCGCCTACATCGTGCAGGACATTCGCCATGTGGTGAGCTGCTCCATGTTGAGGCCCTTGACCGACAGCTAACAGACGACCACAGCAAGCACATTCTTAACGCTCAAGTCGCGATCCGGTCACCTTGCTGTACGTCAAGCCAGCCACCTGTTTACCAAATATGGCCAGTACCTAACGGAAACTACTATTACAGGCAAGAAATGGTTCGACTGCGCCGATTGCCACCATGAGCAGGAGAAGCACCCCCTGATGCAGAGTATCGAGATGGTCTTTGCCTGCAAGAAGTGCAAGAAGTGCTTCCGCAAAGACGCCACCGAGTTTGAGGACTCTGACGAGTACTGCCCACACTGCGATAACCACTTCGTCATCGAAGCAAAGACGCCAAAGGCTGCCATCTCCGTCGAAGGCGAGGACGCACGCAAGGACAGCCGCATGATCAAGGACGAGCGTGTCCGACAAATTGCTGGACGATCAATATTCGACCCGACCGACGACGCAGACAAGCTGGGTTAAGTTTTAGACTGGAGATTGGTTGGATTACGAGCATGAGTGTGGCGGCAAGCGATTTCATGGACACCATCTTTGTAGATTCCCCGCGACTTCCAAGTCTAAAGGTGGTAATACAATGGTATTTGGTTAGATACCCTCATCAGTGTCGTCTATCCGCGAGCCGCAACGCCTATTCATTCCCTTACTCATCACCGTCACCTGAGCCCGAGCCTCTCGTGAGGATCGCCGCGCTTCCGGTGCCCGGCGTGCGGCCAGTCTTCTTCTTCGCCGCCTCCTCTTGCTTCTCCTGCTCAATGTTCTTGACGTAGTTCTCAATCTCCTCCACGGGGAGCATCTCGATCGTCTTGCCAGGCGCCATCAGCGCAATCTCGATATTCTTGGCTCCCGTCTGGACAACCTCGAGAAGAGACTTGATGGCAAGTCGGATGGTAGCCTCTCTGTCCATGTCCTCCTTGTAGTTGCGCTCGAGGAACTCGCGAACGGTCTTGCTGGAACGGCCGATGGCGTTGGCTTTCCTGCAAGGGGTTAGCTATCATGCATTGTATTGCGTACGAGTTTCGGGTTCGTACCATGCCGAATAGATGCCAGAAGGCTCAGTCTGGTAAAGACGCGGGACCTTGCTGCCGCTGTCGAAGCCGACAATCAAGGTGCTGATGCCGAAGGGGCGGACACCACCACTCTGTGTGTACCGTTGCTGGACGCCGGCAACGTACTTGGTCATGTACTCGATGGAGGCGGGGTCTTCGACAGTCAGTCTGTGGGACTGTGCCTCTAACCGCGCCTTGTCGACGAGGATACGGGCATCGGCGTTCAAGCCGGCGAACGCGAGGCAGACGTGAGTGTCGAGAAGTTGAATCTTGGAGGGAGTAATTCGGGTATCTTGCAGCTTCATGGCTGATCGCTTTTCGCATCCGAGAACGACGACATCTGAGCCCTTGACGCCGACCGCACATGTTCCTATGTCACCAGTGAGCCGGGGTTCGCCCTTGACTGTGGCGGGCAAACAGCATTACCTCGCTTTACGGCTTCACCAGCGTACTCGACCTGGAAAACGTGTCCATCGGGACTGCACGAGTTAGCTGGGCGCCGCGAAATACATCAGAGTCCAGGGGCAGTCGTGACGAACCTGAAGACTATTTGCGGCGTGTTAGCATGGCACAGTGAGATTGCGGGCAAGAGGGGGACATACCGGACAGCGCTCTGTCATATCCTGAAGCCATGGTTACTGATCAAAGGTCCGGTTAACGGATGTATATGGTCTTGGTTGGGTTGGCGAGTTGTTGAATGGTGCGGGACAATCGCCGTGGATGAAGGGGTGCAGTTGGTGGAGGATATGGATGGAGTGCAGTAGGTAATAGAGGCAGGCTGCAGGTCTGACGAAGCTTCGGTACCTGCTGGCGTGGGAAAGGCTGAAAAGCTCCAGGAGCTCCTGCGCAGCCCGGTGAAAGTCCGGGTAATGGACCTTCCTGAAGCTTAGAGGAGCGTCGGGCCCGTGCCGTATTGTGATCCAAGCGCCTCCGCTCTGTTCGACGACTACCTAAGTTGCTAAGGTAGTTGTTTGGACAACATGAGATTCTTCCCGTTTGTCAGCACCCATCTCCCACTCCCTGTGTCATCTACATCCAAACCATATGTTGATCTGGTAAGGATTTCGTATTTTCAACCCAATTAGTGGCTTTTGTTCCCATGCGACTGGTGTTTGCTAGAGATGCCGCACCCTGCAACATCACTTTTATGAACAACAAGAGAATAAGACGATTTCCCCAAAAATGCAGAGCTGCAATTGGCCGGCTCACTAGTTGACTGTGACTGCTTTTAGCACGACTTGGTCCAAGGGACAATCGTTCTTGAAATGCTGATTGCACACCCAGCGATCTTCAAAATCAACCAATTCCCACCCACTACCCAAATGCAATGCGCCTGCGCCAAGCCGTCAGATTGTCATATCAACCATCGCCGCGTTTTCTTAGCGTATCCATCATGCCTGTATGTTGATGTCCAGCATCAGACGAAATGAGAGCCAGCTCCGTTCAAAACTTTCCAATGTCAGCCCACGATCTACTCTGGAGAACGTCGGCGATGTCTTGGCCCTTTGATCTCAACCGCAACTTGAAGTTCTCGCACCACATGATTTCTAGCTCGCCGTCCCTCGAAGACGCGTTGATTTCCCGGTAGTATTCCAAAGCCACAGCGAGGGGTGCGGCCAGCAGGTCTGGCTGAACAGTCGTCGACAGCGCAAAGTCCAGGGCCCTGCATATTCTCGAGGCAAACTCCCGCCGTTGTTGGTATCTGGCCAGGTTGATCTGCAGATGGGACGGCAGGTCGGGGTACATGTTGGGAAAGTCTTCGATGACGGGTTGAAAGATGGCATGGTGCAGGCTCTCGATGCATCGATGAAGTAGCAGCAACGTCATCCAGTGGTACAGGAACATCACCGACGAGACGCCGTCCTTGAAGGCAAAGCTATCGGCAAATGGGATCTGCTGTGTGTCTGGATCATCTGGCTCTTCTATCCAGTATGCATATGGGTGCTCGGCCGTGGGAGCGCGAGCAAAAAAGTCCCACTCCTCGAGCCTCCTCTCCAGCTGCAAGCAGTTCTCCAGCAACTCCTGGGCCTTCAATCGGCGCTGCAGAGTGGCAGCAAAGGGTGTCGTTCGGTCGACCCGAGCGAATATACCAGGTAAAACGGTAATGATATCGAAAAGTCTGTCGAAGAGAGTCTTGGGGTGCTGTTCCCAAGGGATAGTGCACCATTCGATGGATGACAGGAAGGTCGCTTTTCTATGCAAGAGAGCAAGGGTAACCTTGCCAATGAGTTAGCTTCCAGTCATCCACTGATTCTAGTGGTGCGTGTTTCTTACAGCGCTGCATCTATACACTCTGACGAAAAAGTGGTGGGTGGGAAAGTGTCGGAAGTAGGCCGGTCCCAGTTTCTTGACGACGTCTAGGTGCTCCTGAGGAACACCCCAAGGGGTGATGCTGTTGGTTATGAGGGAGGATGTATTTTGCTGCAAGCCGTCAGCGGACTCGTCCATGGATGCTAACGGGCTACAGACCTCGAACAGAAAGGCGCAAATTCCCTCTGGGGGCCATTGTCGTTGCTTGTGGGTAGAAGGCTTATCATGACTTGCGCATTCAGGTCCATATCGCTCCCGTTGTCCCAGTTTTCGACATCGACTGGCGAGTAACCCGGTAAGACCATCCGAAACTTGACCTGGCTCTGCCCCTCGGCCTCCTTCAAGACGTTTTGGAGTACAGTATGCAAAGCGGCGATCTGCACCGCATACACGACACCATTGTCAGACAAGGAGATCAAGTCGTCCCATGCCGGTGTCAAGGGTTCTGCTGGCGTCAAATGCGGGACCTCTTGTTCAACGGTGTGGCTCCTCCCGCTCCTCCTCGAAGACGACTGTACTTGGCGTGGCGGATGAGACGAGCAGCGACCGGCATCATCTATGGTTGCGGTGATGAAGACCATTTCTCGCTCGTACCCAGCACACTCGCGGCCGCTATCGACGCATTTCCGACAGAATGGGCGTTCGTTGTCGCACTGGTTTGAGTCAGCAGCTCAAAGGCGCCCTCAGCCGCAGCTCGTCAGGAACTCACTTTAACTCTCCTAGCCCTACACGTCTCACATCCCTTGTACTTACCGCGAACTCCAACCATATTGATAACAGAGTGGCTCTTGGTGGCAGATGTTGCGTAAAGAAATAATAACCATGGCTCGGCTTGTCTTGTCAGGACGAGCAGGGGAGACAAGCGTCTATGCTGATATATATCATATCAAGTGCCGCAGGGGGTGGCATCGACAAGAGGCCCCCAAAAGGGCGCGGTTCGGGAGCTTCTTACGTGGGCCAGTGCCGATGTCTGTGGAGGGGGGCCCTTGGGCACACACACGCAAGACCTCGCAGGACCGGATTGATGGTGTGCTGCAGCCCTACTACTGAGAGTGAATTATGACAGCGTATGATACATCCAGGAGCAAGGACTCAGTCGCTGGGGACAGCTTGGGCGAATGAGGTGTCTGCGGGTATGGCATGCAGTCAGGCCGCTCCGAGACGATCAACTAAGGCCCCCTCCGCGATAGTCTCAGGCGGTGCGCGGGTAGATTGCTCCCGGCGAGTGCAGGCGAGATGTGATGCGGTGCTTGGATCATTATGTTTGCCCTTTTCCCTTAGACGATTGGAATCTAGGCGATATCTAGGCATTCCTTTTTCAGCCAACTCGTATGCAAATCAGCGGGCAAGACACGCTGGAAGGGGAAAGTGAGCGTAGTACCACCGCTTGTGTGCATTCGTATGTGTGAGATGCCTCGGCCATTCAGAGCGACCGTTGCAGTGCGACCAGAGATGGCCGAAGCAGACTATCGATCGAGGGTTAAGAAAAATAAAGTGTAAACGATCTCATATCCCTCCATCCCTCGTCCCTCGTCCTCCCCGGACGGGACGGACAATTCGCACGTTCCAGGTATGGCTCCGTAGGGCTGCATGCCGTAGCAGACCGAGGGCAGGGGTTCGGCTCGGAGGCCCCACGGGGGAGAGCGGATCCTGGCCCCGGATTGGCTGCATCGGAGCTGACGTCGGTGCGGCCGCTGAATGCCGCGTTAGTAAAGGGGCCAATGGGAGCGCAGCAAGTGAGATTCTTACCAGGGCTGCCAGGGCACCACTGGCAACCGGTCAGCCAAACGGCGCGGAAAGCCCGGTCGGACCAGGGAGCCGCCGAGAGACATGGACACAAGGGGACCAGGGGGCAGAGTGGGAATTCGACAGGCAGGGACATCCAAGAGACGGACTCTGATGATCACACCGCGACCACCGAGCCGGGAGTTGGTGACGAAGCGATGTCATTGGGAGTTGGACGTCTGCTACTCCCGAAGCTTGGGTGGCTGGGACGTACCACAGCCAATTGATTTGCTTAGGGGCCTGTGCTTCTTTGCACATCACCCGTCCTTTGCATCTCCTTTGTCTTGGGAACCATCCGAGGTCAGATCGAGTCACCGATTCCAAGGCTGCGGGGGGCTGACTCGAATCTGCGGGGCCGGCATGTCTCTCCTGTTTAATGAATCGAGCTGCGGCTGAGACGCCTGGGGCCGTGTCGCTCATGGCATCACGTTTTCGTCAAAACGACCGATGCAACAAAGAGACGTGACATTTTGGTGAGATGTTGAGGGAGAGGGAGGGTGAGGGTGAGGGGTAGGAGGGTGAGAGTGAGGGTGAGAATGAGGTGGACGGGGCAGGATGCATGGCGGGCTGTAATCTCTTTGGGTTTTCAAGGTACGTAATTCGAGTATCTTACTACATAGCGTATATCTGCAGAGGCTTTTCTGCTCTTCGCCGCCCTCCTATGAGACTAGAATTCCAAGATATGTCCCGATTAGGAAACATTGTTTTCCCCACGCCACGGATTGGTTGGGGCTTGGGGAGTACCGTCATGATACAGCAACAAAAAAACTTCTCTATCTCTTTCTCTCTCTGTCTCTTTTACAAAGCAATCCACTGCTTCTATCCTCGGATGGAGGGATGGATGGAAGGTGAATGGGCTGCCAAACAGCGGGGCGATGTGATGCCTAGCTAGTCACACGACTTTCTAAAGCCTTTATCACCCGCACCTCGACAGGCCGGTCAACCGGACTCACATCCGGCGGCCAGGGCTGCTTCCTCTGCTCCATTCAGAGATGGGGGGTATCGTTCCTTGGCGATTTCTTAGACGTATTTGTAAGGGTTCATGATGCCGTTCTGATTGGTTCAAGGTCAGCATTCCTTCAAGGCGCCAGGCAGGGCTGATGATGATTCCACGGAAGAGAGGAGGGTCCATGATGTGGGGGTCACATGATGACGGATGGAGTGACGCAAGAGTGAGAGTGGGAGAGCAGGGGTAAATAGGCAGAGCGACAGTAAGACGACAAGGGAGAGAGAAGAGGAGAGAAGAAGGATGAGGAGGAAACACGTACCGGGTCATAGAGGTTCTTGATCTGCTTCATCAGCCCAACCATGGTCTCGTTTCGGCTGTATCCAATGAAGCTCTTTTTCGCCACGCCTAGGCCGTGCTCGGCGCTGATGCTGCCTTGACGCTCCTGGATCCACTCGTACACGAACGGCTCGAGGACCTTCTCGATGCGCTTGTCGTACCGTCTGACGGCGACGTTTAGGTGCAGGTTCGAGTCACCCATGTGGCCGTAGCCAACGACACCCACAGCGGGGAACTCATCCGTGTCTCCGACGAGGCCGGCCTCTTCCATCTTGGCCTTGGTGTCGTCGACGAGCTGGTAGAGATCCTTGAGCGGGATCGACACGTCGTACTTGTACGTGCCGCCCCAGTGGCCCAGGCACTCGGGGATACCCTCGCGCCATCCCCAGAGGGCCTTGCTCTGCGTCTCGTCCTGCGCGAGCACGCCGTCCGAGACGATCTCGTTGGACATGACATCCTCGAGGAACGCCTCGAGCTTCTCGTAGTCGTGGTCGCCGTTGGAGCCGCTCGTCTCGACAAGGCAGTAGAACGGGTGCTCGCCCTCCAGCGGCCGCTTGTTCTGGCGCACGGCGTGCACGAGGTCCTGGCTGCGGGCGTCCATGAGCTCGAACGCCGACAGGATCTCGCCGAGCTGGCCCTTGGCGGTCTTGAAGGCCTGCTGGGCCTTCTCGTACGACTCGAGGCCGAAGAAGGCGACGTTGACGGCCTTGGAGCGCTGCGGGCAGATGATGGAGACCTTTGTGATGATGCCGATGGTGCCCTCGCCGCCGATGAAGAGCTGCTTAAGGTCGTAGCCCGTGTTGTTCTTGCGCAGCTTGCAGAGGTCGTCGACGACGGTGCCGTCTGGCAGCACGGCCTCGAGGCCGAGCACGTTTCCGTGCAGGCTGCCGTACCGGAGCAGGCGCAGGCCTCCGGCGTTCGTGGCGACGTTGCCGCCGATGTGGCATGAACCCTTCGCGCCCAGGTCCAGCGGGAAGATGTAGCCCTTCTCGGCCAGGTACTGGTCGGCGACCTCGAGGATGACGCCAGCGTCGACGACGAGAGTGCCGCTGACGTCGTCGAAGGAGTGGATGCGGTTCATGCGGCTCATGTTGATGACAATCTCGTCAAAGACGGGCACGGAGCCGCCGACGAGACCCGTGTTGCCGCCCTGAGGCACAACGGCGAGCTTCTGCTTGTTGCAGTAGGCGAGGATCTTGCTGACCTCGTCCGTGGAAGCGGGCTTGAGCACCAGGCGCGACTGTCCGCGGTACTTGCGCAGCCAGTCCTCGTTGAAGGCGGCGATGTCGTCGGCCGCGTCGGCCGTGACGCCGTCAATGACGCCAGAAGGGCCCAGGAGGTCCTTGAAGTAGGCGGCGTGGGCGTCGGTGACCTCGGCGAAGCGGGAGTCCCGCTTAATGTCCGGGTACGCGGCGGAAGTGAGCTTGACCTCCTTGAGCCCGTCGGCCTTGGAGGGTCTCACAGCGGTGGTCGCGATGCAGCGGGCGGCGGCGGCGGCAGCCGGGGCCGAGACTGGCCGCAGAGCATGCCGGCCACCGGAGCTCAGGAGCGACTGCCTCCGCGCCGCTGCGCGGAGGAGGGGCTGAATTCTTGATCTGGAGGCCATTGTGACTGGTGCGTGTGTCTTGACCGAGGTAGGACGGGGGAGAAGGACAAAACACCGGCCCGGCTGGGTTGTGGACCTTTTCACTTTTTTTCTCTTCTTTTCTCTTGGAGAGGTCCCAGCGGACTGATGAGCTGACAAAAAAAGTAAGAGGTTCGCAAAATATTTGGATGAGCCGACCGCCCGCCCGATTTCGGCTTTAAGGCGCCAAACCCCTGTAGCATTCCCTCCAGTCCCGGTGGCGGGGGCGGAATTGCCTACCCGGTAGCATGACGAGGCCTGCTGAACCGCCTGTAACTCCAGTGGCTCTCGTCATCGACGTCGCTCGGCGAAAATATCTCTCTTGCCGTCGGCAACACTTTCCTTTTGCCGAAGGCCGTAGATTCACGCTTCGAGCGGCCATCAACATCAGCATTCCACAATTCGACCCGACATTTCGCCGTTTGTATTGGTTGACTCGGATAACGGGACATCTAACGGCAGATAGCCGAACAAATAAACTCACGGACAACATACTTCAGACGACGAGGTTCCGGCGCACAAAGCTCTCATCCGAGTGTCCTAAATAGATGGTCGCTTCGTCATCGGAATGCAGACCGGCTCTCAAGCTTTGGCACCAGCCGGCTTGGGAACCTAGCTCATGGCACGCACGATGAACCGGGCGAGCAGTTTGAACGCTTCTTCTCACTTCGCAGCCGACGCTCGATGCAACAACCAAACTCAGCCATCTTCGCCTCGTTATTGCTTAATTACATATTGCTAGTGAGGTTGCCCATGTTCGACAACGACGACGAGTGTTACACGGCTCAAGTTGACAGATGGCAGCATCTCTGCAGCAACTGTGAAGACATAACAAAGAGGAAAGAAGTTTTGCAGGCCCAATCCTCGCCAGATGGCATCCACCAAGGCACACTCTTGCAAGTCAAGTTCCGAGAGCACGGGCTGTGTGTCTCACTCAGCCACCGTCATTGTGCATTGAAAGCCATTCTTTTTCCTCTGGGCATTATTTGCAATACTAGACACTCGGAAGGCCAAGTATCGGCGAATACCTAGTCCTTTTGTATCGGGCTCGAATCCCTCGGCCAACGTTCAAGTGTCTGGTCTCGGCTTCGCAGCTGCCAAATCCTCCCATGTTGGAACAAGACCTGCGCTCGTTATTCTTCATCTCAATCCGTTGTCTCGGCCAGGGCCGGCAGATGTCGTAACATGGTTGGGGCGCCGATCAGATTGCGCATCGTGTCTCGCGCTTGGTCCGATAACTACGACTGACTCTACGAGACTTTGGACCAGCGGCTACTGAGTTCCAAACTACGAAAGTGAAATACTTTGGGTGTGATCAGACGGCCCTGTTCAATCTCCGTTCGATGTCTTGACGCGGCCCTCGTTAGAGTTAGCGGATTTGCATTCATGCACTTCTCAGCCGTTGGCCACTCACAAACGGCTGTGGCGACGTAAGTTCGGGGCGGTTGACGGGTGATGTGCAGAATAGACACGTTGCAGACAAGCCGTCAGGAATTCGGTTTGCAACGGCTGTCATTCCCAGTCGGGAAGTGGCTGAGGGGAACAATGTTCCAAGAATCTAGACGCCTGAAGCAGGCCATTATCCGGGATGCAGTTAATAGATTGAGACGAATAGCATAAGATAGATCCAGTGAGCCTCCCCCTTTCTCTTGCAACTGACTTATCCGCGACGGCGAAGACATGCTCACATTCCCAAATCGGAATCACGGCCACTATAGCATACTCGGGGATCCCTGCTGATCAGCTCCTAGCATCATGGCATGCATGAGGGACTTCGGCAGTGGGACGAGGGGGCGGGCCCTTTCTGCGCTGGGGGGAAGACAAGCCATAGGGAGGCGGTCGAAGGTGAGTGACGACGAGCCCAAAGACTCGAAGGGTCCATCTAGCGGCGGGATCAACGGGGTCCTGGGCTTCAAGGATGGAAGGGAGAGCGATCCTGATCGTGGGAGTGGACAGCGTGGAGAGACGGGAGACAGGCTCTTGTTTCAGAAAGGGCCTCACGCCTGGGGGCGACCTCGCAGTCCTAGTGCTGCGCGCGACATCCCTCGTCTGTACTCGTCTGTACATTAAGAAGAGGGTTTGGTATTTGCCAGGTGGAAGAGGACGGGACGACGGTATTAAACGACGGAAGGATCCCCCTATTTCAACGATCTATGCGTCCGGTCCTCTTTTGTTCCATTTACTCGTTGCGCATCGTGAGTTGTTTTGTTTCTTCAAAAACTCCACGAGACTTCTGGCAGATACTCTGTACTTGTGAATACGACCGATCCTTGAACGCGAAGATCTTCAAAGTCTGTTCCCTCGTCCCCGGCAGATGGCCGGCTATCGATAAGACAAACTCAGCGTCCCATCCCAGCGCCTGCAGCGGTTGAGCGCTGCCAATCAACTTAGCGAGCCGCTAGCATTGCCCGAAATGACGTTCACCACCGAAAGCCCTCAGGGGGCGCGCCCGCTGTCAGGCTCAAGTCTGCCCGGCAACGCAGGGTGCAACGAGGAATTCCCCGAGTTTTGTTTACACGACCACTCGGCCGGCACCCACCACCGCTACTCCTCCACCGCCGGCAGCCACACCTCTACATCTTCACCCACGTCCACGACCCCTACCACCCCGACCACCGCCGAATACATTTCCCCTCCCGCAGAGAAACCATCACCCATATCACGCGACCGCACAAGCAGCGGAGCCAGCAGTACCACCACCGCCTACTCCCGAGCCCGAGGACAAGACGAGACAAAAAGGAGTTGCAAGCCCAGCGGCTGCAGAGGTCAGGAAGCAGCAGCCTAGCGCTAGCACGAAAGGAAAGCACAGCGAAGAAGAGCCGATTCCGTTCTGCCACAGGATCTTCGCCCGCCGACGCTCTCGCCGCCGTTGAGCCGCCGCATGACCAGGGCTTGACGAGGATGGCGTTTGCTGAACAGCAGAAATGGATCACGGTCCAGCAAAAGACCTTCACCAAATGGTACGATCGGACGCCGCCCCTCCAGCAGGAAATGCGCCCAAATTTAGATCGCGAACATGTACTGACACTGGCGTTTTTTTTGCAGGATGAACACCAAGTTGGAGGCTCGCCAGCTTGAAGTGAAGGATCTTGTGGCTGATCTGAGCGACGGTGTTAGTTGAACCCCTATTTCCTGATTGCGGGGTTCTTGGCTTACAGAAACTTCCACCACAGGTCCTGCTCATCCACCTCCTAGAATGCCTCTCCAACGATACCCTCGGGCGCTACGCCTCGAAGCCGAAGCTGCGCGTGCAACGGTTTGAAAATGCCAACACGGCGCTCGACTTTATCAAGGCTCGCGGCATCCAGATGACCAACATCGGTGCCGAGGATGTTGTTGACGGCAATAGGAAGATTATCCTCGGTCTCATCTGGACGCTCATTCTCCGATTTACCATCAGTGACATCAACGAAGAGGGCATGACGGCCAAGGAGGGACTGTTGCTGTGGTGTCAGAGAAAGACGGCCTGCTACGACGAAGTCGAGGTCCGCGACTTTAGCGGCAGCTGGAACGACGGACTTGCCTTCTGCGCCCTGCTGGACATCCACAGACCAGATCTCATCGACTACGATGCCCTGGACAAGTCGGACCATCGCGGCAACATGCAGATGGCCTTCGACATCGCGCACAAGGAGATTGGCATCCCCAAGCTATTGGACGTTGAGGACGTGTGTGACGTCGCTAAGCCGGATGAGAGGTCACTGATGACCTACATCGCCTACTGGTTCCATGCCTTCTCCCAGATGGAGAAGGTTGAGAACGCAGGACGCCGCGTGGAGAAGTTTGTGAACAACATGGCCGGCGCCTGGGAGATGCAGAGTGCGTACGAGAGGCGGATGAGGGAGCTGCTGAGGCAGATCAAGGAGCAGATTGAAAAGTGGCAACAAGCAACTTTTCAGGGGACCTACGCCGACGCCAAAGCGCAGGCGACTGAGTTTGCTGCTTTCAAGCGTGGAAGGAAGAGAGAATGGGTTGCCGAAAAGAGCGAGCTCGCGACCCTGTTGGGTAACATCAAGACGAAACTAGGCACATACCGGCTGCGGCCGTACGACCCTCCACCAGAGTTGTCCCTCGAGACGATGGAGAGGGAGTGGTCTGCTCTGTCAAAGACGGAGATGACGCGCGCACAGCTGATCAACGAGACCATCAGAGAGTGAGTGCTTCCCTCATGTGAGAGCCTTGGCCTATCTTTGTACTGATACCTTTGCAGTATCAAGAACGCGCTACGCAAATCCTTCGCCGACAAGGCCAACGACTTCGCCATGGCACTGAATACCATGCAACTGGCAATCTCGGGTCTGGACGGTGACGTCGAAGACCAGCTCCACCATGTCCGCAAGCTCAGCGACAACTTGCCGCCGCTAGACAAGTATCTCGAGACCATCGCCGCCGTGGACGCAAAGTGCCAGGAGGCCAACATCGAGGAAAACGATTTTACCACATACACGTACGACGAACTTGTTTACGAGCACGGTCTCGTCAAGTCGTCGGTGCAGAAGAAGCTCGCCTTCCTCGACAACCAGATGGTCGCGCGCAACATGACCAACCTCACACCGATCCAGCTCGAGGAGTTCGAGTCCGTCTTCCGCCACTTTGACCGCGACGACACCAACTCGCTCCAAGAACTCGAGTTCAGCGCCGCACTCGCCTCGCTGGGTCTCGTCTTCTCGGAGGACGAGATGCACGACTACTTCATGGACACGTCCAATGGCCGCGACCACGTCACATTCGAGCAGTTCATCCGCTTCATGGTTGAAGTCACTGAGGACCAGAACACAGCCGAGCAGGTATTCCAGTCCTTCCGCGAGGTCGCCGACGGCAAGCCCTACGTCACCGAGATGGACCTCCGCCACTCCCTCGTCCCCGACGAGGTCATTGATAAGCTCATCGAGATCATCCCTCCGCACAACGGCCCAGACACGGCCGAGGACCGCGGCATGCCGCAGTACGATTACATTGCCTTCATGGACAAGCTCATCAGCGATGAGAAGGGGGCTGACACCACGGTCCCCAGTGGCGTGTTGCAGGAGCGCACCAATCGCTCAAGCATGCTGCCGCCCAAGGAACTCAAGTTGAATGGTAATCACTGAGGAAGGCAACTGGAGATAGCCAAAAACAAAGCATATAACTCAATACAAAAAAAAGTATCAATCAACCAAAACCCACCCCACTGGCAAAAAACAAACACAACACGCATACATATATGCACATACGCACACACGCACACACACACAAGGGAACATCAAGGAAAACGGTCGCGGGAGGCAATCGGCGGCGGGCTTCTCTTCTATCAAAGTTCTCCTTTGTTCTTTTATACACAACAACACATCACACATATCCGAAACAAGCGGGCACACCACAAGACACTACAATACTGATATCCCCCTGGGAGGGGGTGAGGGCATCAGGCTTGCTGCCTGCGCCGAGAAAACTGGAGGCGTTCGCAAAGCATCGTTTCCATAGCGTATTGGGTGTTTTGGGCGCTGCTCTAGTCGCGGGGGGAAAAGGGAGGGAGGCAGGGAAATGGATGTTTCGTCTTCTCTGCTTTCTCCTCGTCCTTTTCTCCGACAAATGTCCATAAACACGTAGAACAAGTCCTACCACTCACTAGGCGCGAGAAACCACAAGGGTGATTTGTTCCTCGGCTGGATATAACAGTCTTTCGACTTTTACTTCTGTAGAAAACCTTTATCTAATAATCCAACACGGAAGTTTCCCTTGAATCTGTTTGGTGTGCCTCTCTGTGTTCCCCTCTTCCCTCCCTCGACTTCGAGTCTGCGTTACGTGCTTCAGCCCCCCTTGGGCAGACAGATGCCTGAAGAAACAACAGTCCAAAAAACAAAACGCCAGTGTCCAGTATGCTTATCCATGTCCCGCAGAAGTCCCAAAAATGAGCGCAACACAGCTTGTCTAGGTCGCATCTCCTCCTCAATTCTTCCTTGATCCTGACCCCCCTTCTCTCTCCCTCTCTACAACCTCATTTGGACCCTTCAAAGGCCCCCATGTCCTTCAGCGCGTTGGCCAGCCGCCTGTAGTCGCGTAAAAGGTCCAGAACCTCGCCCAACTTAAGGTCGCCCGGGTTCTGCAACTCCATGAATCGCTTGTTTGGCGGGTTTACCTTGGGTGTCTGCTTAGGTGGCAGGGCAGCGGCGATGTCGGGGAAAGCCTGTCATGCCGCGTTAGCTAAAGTTCTCGAGTTGTTCTACAAAGAGACGTACACTTGCCAGGTCACCGCCATCAGCCACCTTGGCTGCCGCATCTTTTGATGCCCCGTCCCCCGGTACGTCCTTGGACGCCTCTTTCGCAGGAACGGGTGTAGACGCAGTCCGGCTAAGACCACGAATCATACTCATGCCAGAGAATCTAGAGAAAGAGTTGCCAAAATTTCGCACAGAGTCGAGAGGGTTGGTAACGGCCGTAGCAGACGGTGTGGCTAGATCCTTCTCCCCTTCTTTCGCAAAGAGCACCTTCTTCGAACTGCTCACGCTCCGAGAGCTATCTGCGCTGTGGTCCCGGCTGGGCTTCCGTCCGCCGATGAGGTTCAGGACTTTTTCTTCGCGGACGGGGGTACGGCGAGTTGACTCGGCCTCCTCCGTGCCGTGCAGGGAACTGGCACCGCTGACGGACCCTTCTTCCTCAGGCGGCGGCGTGCTCATCAGCTTCCTGGCGTCGTCAAGTGTCTTGGGTACGACGAGGCCCTGGCCAGATTCAGTCGGCGTGCCCTGGGTCTCCCGCAATTTTCCAACCAAAAACTTGTAGCTGTCACCCAAGCTCGTCGAGATGGTCTTCAGATGCTGATCGGCCGTGTTGAGCACAGCGTCACTGGCGGCACCGATAGCCTGGGCCGGCGTATTGACCAGCTCGCTCAGTCTTCTATTTCGAGCCTGAACTGCAGCGCGGAGCCCAGACGATGCCAAAGGCGACGCTGGAGGTCTCACAAGGGCGGCATTGCCAGTGTCCGTCTCCACCATGGGATCCGCCGTTACCGTCAAACCGGGCGGGAAGGCTGGAGGAAATGTGTCGGCCCGCGGGGTTCCCGGTTGGCTCATACCTCTAGCGGGACCCTGGGGCAGCTCGTCGGCCCTTAGCGTAGATAGATCCACCGTCTCCAAAAAGCTAATGGCTGCCTCGAGGTTTGTCAAGCAGTACGCAGCTTCGCCTGTCAATTTCGGCTCCCATCTAAAGTGCTGAATGAAGTGCAGGTCGCTAATGACGTTGAGGTGCTCGGGGGGAGCGTGATGAGCGTGAATATGAGCATGGGCATAATCTCATCCGCAGATGCTGAGGGGTGGAACTGAGCCAGTGTCTCCACGATGCTCTTGTGAGCCGCCTTCAAGTGATGCACCTTGCCAAGCGGATAACGCTTCTCGTTCATGAGGATCAAATCCTTCCTTGCTTGTTCGAGCGACTTCTTGATCTCTTCTGCCTTCTCGGCAGCCGCTTCGGGAGTCTGTGATGCATCCTCGCCGAGGTCGATGCCAAGGTCGGCTGGGCCGATCCCGACTAGTGCGAGTGCCGCAGTCTTGGATCTCAACTTGGAGTCCTGCGCTTCGTCTTGCGTGCTCTTGTGGCGGTAGATCTTATGGTAGATGCCCTCGCACAGTCTTCTCTCGACAGCCTCCTCAATGATGCCCCGCTTAGCCTCAATGGCCTTCCGCGCTTTCTTCCTGTTGGCTAGTTCCTCGGCAGTGATCATTTGTTGCTCCGGCTCGGGCTTGGGAAGGACTTTGGGTTTATCCTTGCTTCCGAGAGAAGCCGCCTTGGCCCGGAGCCTACTGGCTGTGGAGACCTTGGATGACGCGGACGACGCAGGCGACGCCTCCCGATTATGCCGAGAGATCAAGCTCGAAATGTGTGTGTTGACGTGACTTGATGCGACCTGATAGAAATCTTGGAACAATTCGGAGACCTTGTCCATGGTCAACGGCGTCGGGTAGGTTTTGGTGGTCAGAGACTCGACAAAGCTGCGCGCGGTCAGTAGTTGGCCTCGGATCGAAAGACGGCGCGGTACTGTACCTGTCTGTCAGGCTAACAAGCTCGATGGGGAGCTCGCCGAGGTCTACAGAGCCTCTGCCATCGAAACCCTCGTCGTTGTCTATCGAGGCCCTCCCGGCCGTCTCGAATGCATCTGGAGCCTCGGAGTCGTCTGGTTGTGTCGGTATGCTGGAGGTGGCCGGCGCGGCCAAGGGGTCGGTCGTCGTGCCATTCTGGAATGTTTGAGCTCGTTTGGGCACTCGGAGAGGGTCGCTGTCTTCGCTCTGGCGAGTAAACGACGGCGTTCGTATCGTACTTGGGCGAGAAGCTAGGGACTTGGAGGGGCCGGTGGACGACATGGTCTCAACGATGCTGGAAGCCATCTCTGTCAGTTCGAGGATCTGCGGGAGAAGTGCGCGAGAGAACCAAATAGAGAAGTTGATTGTTCCGAACCGGAAAAACGGGCGTACCTGATCTGATGTAGTCAAGTCAAGCCGGCATGAAGTATTGGAAGCGGTCTTGAAACCCGATACTAGAGAAAAGAGATCCCTGGCAGTGCTACGCCGGAGGGTCGAGTCGCGTGCAGGCTGATTTATGCCATAAATGGGGCAGCAGAACAGGGATAATGGCTCGTAAGATGGCCAAAGATGGCAGTTATTCGTCTATTCGCATCTCTTACAAAATGATTCCAGGGTTGTTCAAGGGTGCACGACCTCTCTTTGCCTGGCGCAAAGGAGCGGGAAAGCAATTGGGGGGTTGAAGGTCGATGGTCTTTGAGGAGCTTGAGAGTTCCAACCAGGTGGCATAGGTAACGCAGGTAGCGCAACATTCCAGCTAAGGTAGCTCCCGCCTTGTCCCCGCTCATGTCTTATTGGAAGGTGTCATCTGCAGACGGATCCGACCTTCAGTGCATGCATGTGCTGGGGGGCACGAGGGTGACAGGGGAGGTCGGTCCTCTGTCTCGGGCTCCAGACCGTGGCTCAAACCTCACTTGAGGACATGCTTCTGCGATTGCTCTTTTCTTTCACAGAGAATGGACACACAAGGCAGACGTGCTGGTCAGGTACCTTGTGTGCTTGTTTTCGCGTCCACGCAATACCTTATTGCGATGCATAAATGTCGCCTCCTGTCGTCATCTGTGTTGGGTGTCTTATCCTTGACAACCGCGGGATGTGACGGATGCGTTGAACAGCCGAAGGTCTGCTGAAGATGGTCCCCGAGGTGTCCCTGAGTGGCGTAGAATAGTGGATGCCAGGCACCAGGCAGCCCCCGGATACAGAGGATATGCAGTGTCTGAGGGGACACTGGTCACATGTTGGGGCAGGTATCCCTGGTTGCAACTTATCAGCAGATACGAGCAAATTTGTATCTATCGGTGACATCTGTTAAGCTTCCAGCTGTAGAAGCAGCAAATTTTTAACAGATGCTTGATGGCGGAAACTTACTGGAAATGGAGGCGGGTTATCGCCTCGCGTCTGTGCACCCTCCGCCGACTCGGAGGCAACGTAAACAGCGCCAACACCGCCCACCTGATGCTGTCATAACTTGAGGCAGGCGAGTCCGCGCATCTAGCGTCGGCATCATTGATCTCTCCCGTCCGTCTCCTTTCCCAAGGCCCAACTCCGCAACACCATCTCCTTATCGACGAGCTTCTCACGACAGTACACCTTACACTTGTTCAGTGGAAAGTCAACAACATGAAACTGAGACTTGGGGGACGAGCGGAGTGCACCTCTGCGGGCAGAGTCACGGCACAGCTCCTCTTATCGTTCCTCGCGATATCGCCAACACTAGCCTCCGTTGGGGAAGCATCGAACCACGAAGAGTCGGTCCTCCAGCCTGGACCACTTCTCCCGCCCAGCACCCAGCAACCCGCTTCGGCCGAACACCTCTTCACGTTGCGACACATCTTTCACCACGGCACATATCGGCATCCTCATCTGCACCGGAAGAAGGATGTCCGCCACTCAGACGACGTCGAAAACCAAGTCTGGCTGGCCGAGGAGGACGGGTTCAAGAAGGAAAAGGTGATGCCTCTCACCGTCCAGAGCGCACCACTGAAGATCGAGCGTATGGTCGACCGCCGGCCGTCTGTCGTCGACCCGATGGTTACCGAAGCTCGACAGCGCGGCTATGTCAACATCATGTCGCCATCCGACTGGACTCTTGACGAGGTTCCTGGACCCAACATCACCGATAAAGCTACTGTCATTAGCCTCGCAATTATGGCTGCGAACGCATATATCGAGGAGGAGGGCCAGGCAGACTGGGAAGAGGTCGGTGGTCCGTACAACAGAAGCGCCGACTTTGGTTGGGAAACCGATGGACTGCGTGGGCACATCTGGGCAGACTCGACAAACTCCACTGTCGTGATCGGGCTGAAAGGAACTTCTACTGCCATTTTCGACGGAGAAGGAACCACCACGAACGACAAAGTCAACGACAATCTCTTCTTCAGCTGTTGCTGTGCCCAGCAGGGACAGTGGACTTGGCATCAAGTATGCGATTGTGCAACGTCTACGTACTCGTGCAACAACACCTGTGTCGTGCAAGCACTCCAGGATGAGCACCGATACTACACGGCGGCTAAGGAACTGTATTCGAACGTCACAGAGATATTCCCCGACGCGAACATTTGGCTTTCAGGCCACTCGCTGGGTGGCGCCGTCAGCTCTCTGCTGGGCCTGACCTATGGCCTCCCTACCGTCACCTTCGAAGCCGTGCCAGAGGCGCTTGCTGCCGGAAGGCTGGGTCTTCCCGTACCCCCGGGCGCGGATCAGATGGTTCATCAGGCCCGCCAGAATACTGGTGCCTATCACTTTGGCCATACAGCAGACCCCATCTATATTGGCACTTGCAATGGGGCTACTGCGACGTGCTCTTTCGCTGGATACGCCATGGAGTCAGCTTGTCACACTGGCCTCGAGTGTGTCTACGATGTCGTAGCCGACAAGGGTTGGAGAGTTGGCATCGGAACTCACAAGATTCGATCTGTGATCCACGACGTCATCATGAAATACGACAAGGTGCCTGAGTGCAAGGCCACTCCTGAATGCCGTGACTGCGCGAACTGGAAAATGTACGAAAGCAACGGCACGGAGACGACCACAACGTCTAGGTCTTCAACAACGTCGAAGACGCGCACTCGGACAGCAACCTGCCAGACGCCAGGCTGGTGGGGTTGCTTGGATGAGACGACGACTACTCCAGTCACGACTACAACGACCACCTCAACCACCTCAACTTGTAAGACGCCTGGATGGTTTGGCTGCAAGGACGAGACCACGACCACTACCACGACTACCACTTCGACAACCACCACCTCGACGTCCACTACCTGCCTGACCCCCGGATGGTTTGGCTGCAAGGACAAGACCACATCGACCAGCAGCACGACTCTAATGCCTGGTTCGACTCCGTCTCACGGTATCACCGCCGCTCCTACGGCAACTCCCACATTAGCTCCTACAAAGGCGCCTCCGTCAGATCCCCACTGCCAACGGAGGTCCTGGTTCGGACGGTGCAAAGAATACAATCAGGCTAGCGAGAGCAATAGTGAGGACTTGTGATGTTGAACCGGCACGTTGACTCTCTGCCGACTCTCTTTTGGTTTTGGGACTGGTTGGATATGGGGACATTACATCAATCACTGGCAAACGGCGTTCGGTCACGGAATACATGTGTAGTTAGCAGCCGGTTTGACCGGCCTTGAATTAAGAACAACAGTTTACTGGTTTTGATTGAATAGGACCATTGCATCTCGGTATAGCGGAATAGCAGGAATGCTCAGTCATTAGGCAGCTGAAGTGGATTTCAATTCAAACAAAGCCACTAGGAACACTATGCTCTTCCCATTAAAAACTCTACTCGAGGTGCAACGGCGCACACGGACTTGAAGTCCCTAAGCCCCACTAAGAACTCGGGGCCGCTGGCCGCTGGCCACCGCCCGCCATCTCCCGATTCGCTTGTCGGGAGTCCCTTGGAAAAGACGAACGGTTAGACGTCACAAGTGCTGCGACGGCCGCCACCTTCCCGGATTTTTTTTTCCCCTAGCTGTGACGCGTCTGACGCCTACGAATTTTTCCAAAGCCTCGACAATCGAGATTCGTCCCAACAGGCACCCCATTTCCCATCGATCGAGCGACCTACCACGTCGCACTGTCCATCGCGCGGCAGAAATGGGCTAGAGGCATAGAAACACTCCTTCGACTCCGACAGACGCGATGGCTGCGACCGCGAACGAGCCCAAACCCTCATCGCGCGACGGGTCTTCGGACTCTGGAAGCGGAAGCGACAGCGAAAATGATACTCCAACGACGACGACGCCGACGACGGTCGAATGGCTAGCGACCGGCCGCTCAAAGCGGTCCACGGCGGGCAACCGGATGAAGTCGATGCTAGCCAACGAAGAACCCGACTCGGACCTCGAACTGTTATTTGCCGAAGACGACAATGACGAAGGCTTTACCGATGTCGACGATGCGGGTTCCGATGTGCAGATGGACTCGTCATCCGACGACGAGGACGAGCAGAACCACGGAGACGATTTCGAGGGAGAAAAGGAGCTCGAGAAGCAGGCTAGAGACAAGAAGCTGGCTTCGCGGAAGCGGAAAGCCCAAGATGCCATCCCCGCCAAATTCAGGAAGAAGGTCCGCATCGACCAGGCCGCCGCGCCAGCGCCACGACCGAAGAAGAAGTCGGAGCGGACGAGCTGGCTGCCCTCCCCAGCCGACATGCCCATCCGCGCCTCGCTCCGTCAGACCACGATGCTCAGCAAGGAGCAGCTTCATCAGCAGATGAAGGAGCGTGAGGCGAAGCGGCTGAAGCAGTTGGCCGTGATGGAGAAGAAGGCCAAGAAGCTCGAGGCCATGAAAAAGCCCCCAATGACACAAGCCGAACGGCTGGCGGAGGCCGCTTTGGTGGAGAAGCGAAACGCGAAATCGCTAAACAGATGGGAGGAGGCTGAGAAGGCGCGCGAAGAAGAGCGTCTCGCCAAACTCGCGGCCCTGAACAACCGGACACTGAAGGGACCCGTGGTGACATACTGGAGTGGCATAGGCGAGTGGGAAAACCACCTGAAGCACGTGGGCAAGGTGGCTGAGGAGGAGAAGGCTCCCCGCAAGAAGCGGGAGAAGAAGGACAAAGGGGATAAAGCGAAGGGTAAGGAGAAGGATGAGAAGGAGTCCAAGAAGGAGGAGGATTCAGCAACGGGCGCTGCCTCGACATCTTTGCCTCCATCGACGACTCCAGAGGGACAGGCTGGGGCGAAATCCGGTGCGCTGTCAGCTTCTCCCGCGCCAGCAGATCCTGAGATTTCACAGCCGAATGGTACCCCAAAACCTCCATCACCAGCAGCCACGGCATCGTCAGAAGCCATGCCAGTTGTGAAGGAGGAAGATCGGCCTCGCGTAATGGCACCTCCCCCCATCCCACCACCGCCGGCAGTCTCGCCAGCACCGCCGAGGCCTGAGGATAAACCCAGGCTGATGGCGCCGCCGTCGATACCTCCACCTCCTTCACTGGGCTCGTCGCTGATGGCTCCTCCGCCTATACCTCCTCCACCCAAGACTTCGCCGCCTGTCCTGGCAGCTCCCGTGCTCGCGCCACCGGTTCTGGCTCCGCCTTTGGGTGGCATACATCTCGTCCAGCACACAACGCAGCCGAAATCCAACGTGCTCGCGCCGCCAAACACTACGCAACATAAATCTCCTCTCTCGATGCCTGCTCCTCCTCCTCCGCCATCCGCGAGGCCACCACCTCATGCACTAGCACCACCTCAACCACTCCAACCACTCCAATCAAGTCAACCGACTCAACCTCCTGCCCTGCCGAAACCCGCTCCGCCGACGGTGGCCCCCTCCCCTCCGCCGTCTGCGCCTCCAGTGCCTCCAGCGCGAGAAGAGCCACCTCCAAGCGAGGTTGCACGCAATGCGTTCATCCTCCGCAACTTTGACGAAGAGCTTATCCGTGATAAGACGGTTCAAACCCAGATCCTGTTCGGACGGCGGATGGACCGCCTTGCGAAGCCAGCACCCCGCCCCGTGTGCGTCATCACGGCGCACCCGGCCCGCTACCGCGACCCCGAGACGGGTCTGCCGTACTTCAACGCCTATGCGTACCGCGAGATCCAGCGGCTCCGACGCGGCGAGTACAAGTGGAGCAGCCTCCTCGGCGCATGGGTCGGCACCTGCACCTACGCTGCACGTGGTGTGCCCGAAAGGTTTCTGAAGGGAGGGAAGCCCAAGGAGCCGAAGACTAAAGAGGCCGAGGTGGAGAAGAAGGAAGCGGGCAACACCACCGTTGTGGAGGGCACCGAGAGCCATGAAGCAAAAGCGGACAAGACCACACCACCCACTCAAGGTGGTGTGGTGCAACAGTCATCCACGGAGATGGAGGACGCGACGGTGCCCTCGCCGTCACCGTCGGCGCCGCAGGTTCAAACGCAGACGCAGACGCAACAGCCGCAGCCGCCCGTTGAAGCTCAGAATCAAGACCAGGGTGCGAAACCGGCTGCCGCCGAATCTGCCCTACCACCCGGTGCCGTCTCTGTTCCAGCCGCTGTCTGAGTTGAGGTCAACTTGACGAGGGGTTCACCCGAGTAATTTAACAACACTTTGCGGGAACGAAGTTGGACGTTTGAGGATATCGGACGAGTTACTTCTGCGCCCTGAACAGTTATAGGCTCCGACCGATCGGATCGGAGGGGCACACCGAAACAGAGGCAGACTGGAAGGGGTTTGGGAGGAAAGAACTCTAAGAGGAGAAACTCGGAGTTGAGGGAGCTGCTTGGTGTCGGACCGGGTTGTCGGTTCGACGTTGCAATGAACCACTTGGCTGCATTGGTGTTAATCTGTATTCTATTGTGACAATACCCGCGGGGCACAACTCCTTTGGGTTGTTTCTTCTCCCCTGGCGACGACTGCCTTACTCTTGCACTGTTTCCTGCTTCACTTCCGCCTCGTCTATGCCGTCTTTTAATACATCAGGTGGCCGAGCACTCTCAATCCTCGCCTGGATAGGCCACATCAGCGACTCCCGATGAACGCACAAGCGCACACTCGTAAGCTCCCATGGGCAGCGGGCTTAGCGATTGGGTGGGCTGGTAGATGGGCAAGCTTTTCGGTCCTCCGTGGGACGCCTGCCGCGGGAGGTTAAAGCTAGAAGGCACACAGGAACAGGCCATTCTTCGTCCTCGTCCAAGGATGGCACAAATAGTGGGATGGGGGTGCCGACCGGGGGGCCTTCGGAAGCTGTTAGAGGTGAACGAAAAGGGACAGACGCGAACGAAAGGAGACGGGTGAAGGGCATGAAAAACGCTATTTAAACATATGTTTGGACGTTGTGGGTGTAGTGATTGACTTTTCTCCAGATCTCACTTGCGCAAAGTTGGGACGGGGGGGCAGTTTTATTCTTCAGACCAGGCACACACAGACTTTGCGAGGGTATTTGTGAGAGCCTGGAAGGGGGAGAAAGAGGCACACAACCTACACGAGTCGTGCTGTTGGATCGAAGATGAATATGCATAGTCAGGGGAAAAGGGGGGGATTACGAGGCGCTTGACCTGCGTGCCAGGCCGGAGCATCGTAAACACCATCTTTTCGGTTTTGGAGACGGTATTGCGTGGACAATCATACACCACGTTCACACTCTCACACGGCATGCGATGCTCGATCCCCCCGGCACCCGCGGAGAGATGTAGGGCTGGCCGGCACGGATGCCAAGTCTCGTCAAAGCAACATCATCCGTACAAGCAGCGGTGTTGCTCGGTCGTCAGAAACCGACAAAAAACCCCTTCTTTTTAACTTACACATCAGCAGAGATTTCGAGTTCCATCCCAAACCTTCGGGCTCGATATTGGAATCCGGTCCTGCCCAATCGACTTTACTCGCTCACCCATCCAAGGTAGTTTGTTTTTCGTCCTAATACAAGCTTTTAGCCTTTTTCACACTACTTCGTCCCTCCATAAACCATGGTGTACGTAGGCTCCCCCAGTCATCCCCTACACCACACCCCTCCTCACTCACCAGCCCGCTAAGGCGTTAGTTACCCCTCGATGTGTCCATCCATCTAAGCTGCACCACACTCACATGGACTCAAACCCAGACGGGTGGGTTATAGCATAACGCAGGCACACTATACCGGCCGCAGAAATGCTCGTGGCCCTTTGACCATTCATCTGTCCTCCATCTCAAAAATTCTGCTTTGGCTTGACATCACTTGGCAAAGATGGGGGACGAGAGACCCTCCGATGGTGTCTTACCTTCCTCCCTGACCAACCCACCCCCTTTTCGACCGTCCCATTATGCCCTTACACCTCATCCAGCCAGTCGCAATCCGCCATAGGTAGGATGGAGAAGATGGACAATAGGCCGTGTCGTCACCGGCGCGAACTCGGCAAAGACTCAGCGAGAAGCTTACGATGACAAGTCGGCGGTTCAGCACCAAGATGCATGGTCTCGCACAGGCGAAAAAAGAAGAAAGAATCTTAGCTTTCCTCATGGACCTCGAGAAACCCCCCCCCCCTCTCTCTTCCCTCTACCCTCATTCGCCGATAGTCACAAAAGCCAAGAGGCGAGAACGAGTTCTTCCCATCCGATGGGGTCGGAACAATAGACGCGGCAAAACTGCAAATTCCTCTGCCCTCCGGTTTTCTCTCCTTCTCTCTCTCGCCCGCGTTTGGGACATTGAGACGCGAGAGGTTAAGTGCCGGCGGGGTTTCCGTGTAAGTCACCGCAGGCAACAAACCCATGAGGCTGGGAGAGAGGGAGAGCAAAGGTCTTGAGTGTCCTGACGGCTGCCAAGAACCACTGACTAGCAAGATGAATAACTAATCAAACCAGAAAGGATAGAGAAAATCCCCCCTCCGCTTTCATGCCCAAAGGAACAACTTGCAGGGCTGGGCATCTTGTTCAGGAGGGTTGGTGTGTCCGGGAGAGTTGATATGTCTTGGGGGAAAGGTTAGTGACGGCAACCTCTTCGTTCGACGCCAAACGACTTTCATACCATGCACGCGGTCCATTATCTCGGTGTCCTGCTTCTGGCTCTCAAGTGCGCGCGTCCTCCAATTAGCTGACATCTCCGTGGTTGTCCGCACTCAAACAGACTGCCGAGCCAACTGTTCGCCAGCATTGCCCGGGTCCGTCCCTCCGAAACCTCGCGCGCACGGATCTCGGGTATCACACTCAAGAAAAATGAGGCTTGTTTGTTTCCTTAAGGTTGGAAGAATCAGCAGCCGTGGGCAAGTCAAGCTCGTTTGGCTTGGATGTTTAAATGGATTAATTCGTCAATTTAGCAGCTTGAGGCCGCACGAGAAACAAGTATGCGTCAGTCACATGGCCGGGTCTGGAGCGAGTTGAGTCCTTTTGGCAAACGGTTTCATTTAGCCATCCACTAAATCGTATCTCGTGCCTGCTGCGTAGATACCGCCTCTCAAAAAATAGCACGTCAACGGACTGCTTCACTAGATGTGACCGGATAATGCGAACTCAAACAGTCCCAAAATATGCGCCAACCCATGCAGCCCTTGCCTTGCAGTGTCCATTCCCATTTTCCCCGAACCGTTCAAATGTACCCACCCCAAGAAGCGCCGTTGGCATAAAAACCATGAGTGGTGGCAATAAGTAGTAGAAGAAGGGGAATGAAATGGGTATATCTCCTCCAGTACTCCGTCAAAAATCCGTATCCTATCATGTGTGATCCTTTCCTGGTGTGTCCTCTGGCCACCAGAGTTGCCCTGCCTTCAACCCTAGAAGGGCAAGGGGGCCGATGCAATGCTGCTTTTCAATAACCTGTTGAATGCCGTCTATGTGACCTTGCATATGCTAAGATTCCAATACGTACGACGGAAGTTATGAGTCGTTCACGTGTGCGGCCAACGAATCTGTTCAGATGCCCTTGCCGCGGATGACGTCGACCATCCAGCCCATCTCGTTGACCAAGTCGTCGAGGCCGTGGTCAGGAGGAGCGGCTACGACGGTGTGAACACGGGGATGACGCTTGATGCCGGGGGCACGGGGCAAGCTGTAGTTCTGCCCCAGAGTTGGTTTCCCCGTGCTGGGCAGCGACAGGGGTTGGACGTAGTTGGCATCGCTCTCGTTGGAGTAGCGATCTTCTTCGGTAGAGTCGTAGAAGGAGAGGACTTCGTCCTCGGGAGAGATAGGTCCGACGGAGGAGGCAACGCTCGAGTCGGACGAGAAGGAGAAGCGCGAAGCAGGTGGTGCGCTCTCCAACTCCCTCAGCTCCTTGACTGGAAGAGGAGGAAGAGGCGAGTACTTCTTCTCGCGGGTAAGAACCTTGGTATGGTGGACAGTGGGGAGTACGCTGTCAGAGTGGCAGCGCTTGAACGGAGGTGGCGACAAGCTGGTCGCGTACGGGTTGATCTCAGAGAGAGCCGAGTTGGCAAAGTTTTCGTCATCGTCGTTCTCCTCAGCAATGTCATCGGGGATGGCGACGGTGGGCCGCCCATAGGGGCTTGGGGATGCAACAGCAAACGGATTGTCGTCAGAGAGGAACCGGCGCAAAGACTCCGGGGAGAGGTCTCGGGTCCGGCTTCCCTCAGACGATCCCATGCTCCTGCTGTCGTCCGAGGGGGAGTAGGGGGAAACAGGCCGCTCCTCGTCATCGTACTGTCGGCCGCGCTCAGTAGAACGGCTTGTCGACGGCTTCCTGTTGAACATGCGGCGCCATGAGGGAGGGGGCGACGTGGATCCTGATCGGGAGATCGACCTTGGAGGTGGCGCACCGGGTGCGGATCCAAGTCGTCGGATGGGGCCGCCCGGCACTGGTGGCGGGGGACGAGGAGTGACAAACTTGTCGTTGGGATTCATGGTTTTGTATTCGCCGTTGCGGAGGGAACCCAAGGACGCACTTCGCTTGCGCTCAGCCATCTCATACGGCACGTCAAGTGTGTTGACCGTCTGGCCTGGGAGATATGGGCACTGAGTGGTGGTTGGCTGGGCAGGGTTGTGACTCTCCTGAGTGCCGTCAAGCTCGTACTAAATAGCTGTTAGTGACCCAGATATCAAGAGTCGACCCGTGGGTCACACTCACGTAGTAGTAGTACGTGTGTCCCATCTTCAATCCGCCGTTGCGCTTCGTGTCTTTGGCGCCGAGCTCGTCGTCCAGAACAATATCCTTGAAAGTGTGGCACCCGCGCCATTGGCCGCGATCTCGTCGAATGTCTCGCTCCATTGTGTAAGGCTTGGAGAAGTTGTCCCAGGAACCAACCAAGTGTACTGATCTTACAGTCGGATGCGTTTGACTAGAAGAGCCGTCATGGTCAGCAAGGTGGACGAGGCTCCCGGGGACTTATATAAATCGAAAGATGTGAGAGGGTGCAAGCCGTGATGCAAAGCCAAGCCGTCAGCCACTAAGCTTACGCCCGAGGCTCGGACCCGGGACCCTGTCTTCGCTCATAAGCGGGCAAGGTGCCGACCAAGGCCGGCGACGCTTTTTTGGCTTTGCCAGGCGTTTGACGGAGTTTTCGGAAGGTTGATGTTGGTCACCGGTGGTGGTGGGTGAGAGGGGGGAGGAACGGGCGCAGGCCAGGGTCAGGGACGTAGGGCATAGCATAGGCAGATATAAACTTTTCCATCCGACATTGTTCGAAACATGAGCCCAAGCAGATGGCCAAGCATAGACAAACAAACTTCGGCGCCGGTCCCCGAATGCCCTCCCCGACACCTTTGGGAAGGAGAAACACTGGGAGGCTGCTGGATGAGCAGAGGCGACAAGCTTTCATTGGGCCTGGTGTGTATGCCTCGGTGGAATTGGTGTATGGGATGCTGGGGCGAAGGGGACGACTACCTATTGGCCAAACGTACATTTATGCGCGATAGAACGTAGACGATCGATCTCACTGGTATGGAGCGAAAACGACGACGGAGTTTTGGGTTTCGACCAGACGGAGAAGGAAAGAGAGAAAAACCGAAAGCGAAATGAACAAATGACCCAAAGGTCAGAAAAAGGGACTCACAGCATAAAGGTAAACAGCGTCGTTGTAGGGTCCATGACTGGAAACGAGAAGGGCAGAAGCCCAATTGAAATAGGGTCTCGGGAGGAATATGTCTTAATTAATGGAATGCTCTGCCCCGGGGAGGGGGAAGCGTGTGGTGGTGAAGCGATTGGAGGCTTGGTGCTGCACGTTGGCCGGCCGCCACGATGTAAGTCGACTTGGCCAGCGTTGGTTGGGACAACGCAGTCGAATTTGATATCAGTGAAACGTCAGGAGCAGTCCCATTCTGTCTGAATAGACGCAGAGCAGCACAGGATTAGGAAGAGGCGAGGCAGATTTGAAATTGGGGGACGGGGTGGCTGGCCAATGGCGAGGGCGGGATGTGCGTGGAAGCGCCGTGACGGCCGTCGGGAAGGGTGAGGTCGATTGTTGACTGGTGAGCGCTTAGAGAAACAAGCGGGCGGGCCCTGGACAGGCAGAACGGAAGACGGTAACGCAGGTACGGTGCTATGTTCGGAAACTGGCGAGGTAACGGAGGTATTAAGATTGTCCAGACGTGTGTTAGAAGTTGAGATGGTCGTCAGGTCGCCCCGTCTCGTGTAGGTTGGTCGTCAATTTTGACCTTCAGGTTCGGGGACTGCGCGCGTTGAAAGTCAAAGTTGAAGTTTCTTCCAGGCCGCCCTCTAATAAATATGAACCTCGGACGGAGACTGGGGGACGTCTCGAAGAGGCCTTGGACGGAGTCGCTCCAGGATCCCGTAGGCTGAAGCAGTAGCGCGGGTGAGAGAATAATTAGAGCGTCCCTGGTCACCTAGTCTGCCCGGTTCGAACCAGGGTACTCCCGGGCTATTTGAATGGCCTCTGGGAGCAGCAGGAGAAGGCAAAGCAGAACAAGAATTCGGGGTGGGCCCTCGGTGGACTCTCAGCTGGACCTGTTCTCGATCTGGCGGACAAACGCCCCTCTGGCGACTTCCACCAGACCGGCGGAGACACCCCCTGTCTTGGGGGCGTCGACGACGGCGAAGGCAGCGAGACCAGGTTGGAAACGAAATGGGGGGCGGCGATTTCGGGGCTCTGACCAGGCGAGTCGTGGCGTTGAACTGGCACAAAGACCGGCGGCCCTTTGGCAATACACCGGCCTTTCCTGACGCACTTGGCGACAACTTGTCTCTCTCTCTCTCTCACTCTCACTCTCACTCTCACTCTCGCGCGCGCTGAGAAGAACAAGCGAAGCAGCCCGGCTCATACAACGCGCTAATATGGCCAGGGCTAGCGAAGCCTCAACAAGCCATGTGGGCTGTACCTGTTCGAGGTTAAGTACCGAGTGCACGAGCAAGGGGATGTTGCCGTGCGGGAGGATCTATTGGACGGGATCGTGTAATTAAGGTCCGTAATTGTAAGGCACCGTGGAGTAGGGATTGGCTGGGAGGGAGTAAAGGTGACGGGGGAATTTGGTAATGCTGGCATTGGTGCCGTCTCAGAGTTGCAGACAGGTAACGTCAGCGGTTGGTCGTCGCCAGTTGAATATTGATTGCTGATTACTAGCTAATGCGCCGTATGTCTGTCTCTCTCCGTGCGCGTCCTTCGCGACAGGAGGCTCAAGACAAGACCAGAAACGGAAATGAAGAGTGGGGATTAGGACGGGCAGAAAAGCAAAAAGTGAGTGCAGCGGAGTAGGTCATTAGTATGTATAGGTAGCTCTGTGCTGCTGTTCCGCAACCTGCATAGCTCTGTTACCGTGGCCGAGAGCGTCGAAGCGATGCACGCTTCGACCGCTTACCTTGCCTGCATTCGGACTTTCATCGCACGTTCTTACTGGCTTCCGCTGACGCATCCGCGACTATGTCTCGTGAAAGCATTACACGAAGACATGGGACGTGTTTTCTCCCAAAGACAGGTAACGGAGAGGAGAAAAGTATGAGACATTACCGACGGGGAGGAAGGTACAGCACGACCGCAGTGACGCTTCTTGCCTTGGTTATGGCTCTTTTGTGTACCGTTATTCCTTAGTCCCTTCTCATTCCGTTGGGTTCAACTTCCAACTGCCGTCTTCTCCGCAGGCATTCCCTGGCATGCTCTCCTCGAAAGCTGGCACCTAGCTTGTGACAACTCGGGGCCTATCAATCTCGGTCACTCGGCGCGGCCAAGCCATACCCCGCGCCGAACACCGTCCCCCCGCCCCGCGGCCTTGTCCACAGGGGGGGGGGGGGAGTCTTACACATCACAGCAGCCAAAAAAGCCTCTTCCGAGACCACCCTCTCTATTGGATCCTATTCCGAACGTCGCGCCGCACCGTCCGGCTTCTTGTAGATGGTATATCGTATATTTCATGCACGGACAGGGTGATGGGATGGTGCGGGAAGGAGCGTCATGGGCGTTCAAACACACAATACTCGTCAGCAGACACGGCACGTCGAGCTTGGCCGATGACGATCCACGTAGTAAACTTTGGCTGTAGGCGATACCTGGCTCGAGTGCCATTGCTTCTCTTCCCCAGACGTACTTTGGACGATGAGACGTCCTCCCCGAACCTGACCTGACTGTTTCTCTCTGCACCCGAGCACCCCGTACGCATCGCTGGGTACAGAGAAACACGACGTGCATACCGTCGCGAATCTCCCGCAACTTTCTGTGCTGTAGCTACTTCAGCATGAACAACCACGCTCACATGATGTTTGCCGACTCAACACGCGGCGTGTCATTCCTGCCAGCTACAGTACAACCTCCCGGTCCCGGCGGCACATTGACTTTTTGTCTGCCAACTCGGCCGCTTCAGGTAAGCATGGCGCTAGCACGTCGAGACCCAAGATCCAGGTTGACAAGAGCTTGTTCCCCCGCGATACCATCGACCCCCAACCCAGACGCACTCCCCAAGGACAATGCCATTGTCCGTTTTTGCGAAGCAGCCTACCATCCGGCGTCATACCCCCGATTGCCGTCCGGCGACTTGCAAAAACCCCGGCCCTCGATTGTTGTCGAGATTGCGTTATCCTCATTCGAAATGCCACTGTCATTGGCCGCGGAAACCTTGGTCTCGCAACACGACTGGCAATTGCCTCGTGCAAGTCGATGTCTCTCGTAGAGTCGACTGTCGGTGTTCTCAATTCTCGTCGCTTCCTTCGCACCTGAATCACCCACGGACATTGCTGCCATCAGCTCTCGACCGTCTCGATGCATCGGGGGTCACTGCCTATCCATGTCGGACCTGCGCCGAACTGGAGTCTGGCCCCAAGACCGACAACGTCAACAACACCTAGCACCGCTGCAGACTACTTTGACAGGCGTGCCAGGCCGCCTGCTGCGTGCGGTAGGTAGGTACCGTAGTTCTCCGCTGTGGAGTGGGAGCTGCAGCCAGCTGGGCACACTAGCGCAAGGTACCAGACTCAGAACCCTGCGTTTTCTTTGCGGTGCTGTGCAGTTCCCACTCCAGTTGCGGGCCAACGTCGACGCATCGTCACTTTTGGCTAGCATTAGCACCGCATGGCTCCGCATTAGACGATTTCTGCCGCAATCTAGCGTCATTTGTGTCCCAATGACACGGTATCCTCCAGTCGGTATCGACTCTGGAATCTCGCCGTTGCCGGGAGGATGGTGTCAAAGGCGAAATTAAATCACACAAAGACGACCGTGTGCGCCTACACGGAACGACCTGACTGGGCCCTCTGCGTTGCGTCCGCAGTTCTTACCCTTTCCAGGCATTTGGTTGTTTGCGTGTTGGCACGGACGCTGGGCTCAGAATATTGGCTGCCACTTACCGAAAGCAATCTCTCCTCAGATTTCGGCCTGGATTCGACGGCTTGGCCATGTCTACAAAGAACGTACGCACGTATGCTTCCTTCATGCACGCCGGCGCTGGGTCGAGGCCCATCATGATGGACAGATGGTCCCTGGGCCCACTGCAAAGCCGGCGACGCCTTAACCCCATGTGGCGGACCAATCATGCGCAAGTCACATCTGTGGCAGCATCTTCACGACCTCACTAGGTATCTTGCTGGTCTCGGAGCTTAACTCTAATACCAAGCACCGCGAGAGGCTCGTAGTGGTCGGTGTTAGGAAATAGTACACTCGGCCGCCGCGCCACACTCGCTCCGTTCCGCCCAAGAAGGTTTCTCGCTTGCGGTACTAGGTCGTCGGTTACGGCCGACTCGACACAGGCTCGTCTCAACTTGACTCGACAACAACGTTTGTATTGCAGCTCCTCAAACAAGCACGTCGAGTTGGCTGTGCATACCAGTAG